TTTTAAGTTTCCGGAGCTCTGGGATTCCGTAGTTTGGTGGGTGAGTGGTGTAACTGTATTTCAGCTCAAGTGTATATGCCAACCCAGCCATATAAACAACAAAAAGACAGATGGTGGGCAGGAAGAACCACTGAGGCGTGGCATATCCACCTGGAGCCAAGATCGCAGGCTGAAGCGAATGCCATGGCTGCTTGGCCTTGCAGTCCTGCAGATCCCTGCTGGCTGACGAGCTCTGTTGGCAGCCAGGGTCCCCTGGAGAGAGGCAGGTGTCTTGGCTGTGTCAGGAAGGTCATTCAGAGCAAGAGGCGTCTGCCCTGTGGGAGATGGCGATGACAGGAGTCACTCTGTCCCTCTGCCACCGGCCTCACATTAGCTGAGGCTGACCCGGGGTGCTTAGTGTGTGCTAAGTCTGCAGAGCAGCTCATTGGCCACGACCAGCTGTGCCCAGGGCCTCGGGTCCCGCCCTAACAGCTTTCTCCCTAACCCACCCTCTCCTCCTTCAGGTTTGCCAAGTACTACAGGGACCTCACTGGCAACGAGCAGCGCACACTCATCAAGGCATATGGCATCCGCTTTGACATCATCGTGTTTGGAAAGGTCGGCCCTCCCTTGAACCCCGCCGGGAGAGGGAGCCTCCCACCACCCTATTTTCTACCGTCATCCCACTCTGGTTCTCTTCCTGTCTTACACAGGCTGGGAAGTTTGACATCATCCCTACCATGATCAATGTTGGCTCTGGCTTGGCACTGCTGGGGGTGGTGAGTGGCAAACTGTTCCTTTCGGGAACTGGACCCTTCTTACTAGCAAGGGGCATAGCGAGCGCTGTCCTTCCCTACACCCTCTAGGCTGGACACTTCTAGGGGTGAGAGGAAAGAAGCCCTAGGCATCCCATCTCTGGGACCAAGTCCCTTGGCTGGGGTCCAGCCTGATTCAGAGGAATGGAGATGCCTTTCCTCCTCAGCAGGCTAGGTTTCAAAGGAAGGGGTCTACACAGAGCAAGAACTAAATGCATCCTGGTTCATTCTGTGCTAAACCAGGCAACTGTGCTTTGTGACGTCATAGTCCTCTACTGCATGAAGAAAAGATACTACTACCGGGACAAGAAATATAAGTATGTGGAAGACTACGAGCAGGTAGGCAGCTGGGCCGGGCAGGCCATAGGTCTGAGCACCTTGTCTTGTCTCTTGTCCCAGTGGAGAACACCAAGCAAGGTTGGCATTGACCTGTCCACTGACCACCTGTGATAACATTTACCTCCAGCTTTTCTTCAGATGGACGCCTTCTTTAAAACCCAGCTGTTTTTGTTTTTTCAAGACAGGGTTTCTTTGTGTAGCCCTGGCTGTCCTGGAACTTGCTACATAGCCTCAAACTCAGAGTTCCTCCTGCATCTGCCTCCCGAGTGCTGGGATTACAGGCATGTGCTACCACTGCTGGCTAACCCAGCTTTATTTTTAATAGCCACACCTGGATTGTGGTAACAGCTGGTAGGACAGTATCTGTATCAACATGGTACATTCATTTTGTGAGACCTTCCAGAACCAACTTGAGGCCTCTCCATTGTTAAAATCCTTCCAGAACCCCTCAAGGGAAAGCACCAGCTCCTCCTGCCCCTGGTGGCTGGGTAAATCCTGGTGGCAGCACATGCTGGGTAGTTACGTGTTTACCCCGTCCCTGCAGGGTCTTGCGGGCGAGATGGACCAGTGATGCCTGACCCTCCACTTCAGCCCCGCACAGCCCTCATCAAAGAAGTGAGAAGGGAGAAACAGCTGTCGCATCACTCGAGAGGAAGTTCCAGAGTTTAACTGCTCCTCCACTCCACACTCAGGGCTGCCTAGTGGGTCTTGTATCATTTTGGTTTTGTTGTTTTTGAGCCTGGGTCTTGCTCTGTGGCTCAGCTGGGTTACAGGCTCAGGATCTTTCTGCTCCAGCCCCCAAGAGTGCTGGGATTACAGAGGTACTTCACAGTACCCTTCTCTTTATGGGTTTTGGCATTTTAAAAAATCTTTTAGTTTCACTGTATGTACCTCAGGTTGGCCTCAAACTCCAGACATTCCTGCACCCTCTACAGCCTTTTCACCTCGCCTTTTGTTGTGTGTGTGTGGAGGGGCGTCATTTGCTCACTGCACACAGCCGACTCCTGGTATGGTGTTGGCTGGGTCACCTGTTGTTTATGTATATGAGCATACTGAGCATACTGCAGTATGAGCATACTGAGGAAATACAACAGTCAGAGAGCAGACACACTGCTGTGACTTTTGGGCCTGCCATCTTCTCCGGCGTCTCCAGGACTGGCTCCCTTGGAAGTTCCGGTCCTCCGAGGCATAGCAGCTTTGTCCAAGCACTTTATAAGGGAGGGGGTTCTCCAAGTGTCGCTGGCAGGCCTGGGGCACAGCTCCTCTTCCCTGTAACTAGACTCTGTCCCTTGTGACAAAGGCAGAGTTGGCTTTTCCTTTCAGAAGGGCTCTGTTGAAATGACTGAGGACCAAACATTAAATGACATTCCAATCCTTGTCTGTGTGGTCTCTTGGCTTGGGAGCTGGAGTGCTCCTTCCATCATGAAAGTCGTCAACATCCAAATGGAGTCCCCAAACAAGAAGGGGCTGGAGCAGCAGATCCTCACGTGGTCCTGATAGTAAGATCATGCCTATGCACAACCTTGCTGCGAAGGTCACTTCAGGAGCAGCTAGAGTTCCTGATCACCTTCTGGTCACTGCCCACTTGTGGTTTGCAACAGCCCTGGCAGTCCCCACATTTGCCACCTCTATCCTGCCCTGGCTCACAGAGCACTCTTCCACCATCTCTGAACAAACAGATTTCTTTGGGGACCCCACTTTCCAGTCATATCTGTGACAACCTTCACAGTAAATTCTGTAGGCCAGCTGCCGTGCTCAGGAGAGGGCTCAGCTTGCTTCTGGCGGGAGGTTTTGGTTTCGTGGTGCTAGGAACTAGACTCTGGGTCTTGCACATGCTCCAGCCCCAGACTTGCTCCTGGGACTTCAGCAGTTTTCCCCCTAATATACCTACAAGCCTACCAACTGTGATCCTCACTAGGTTGTTCCCACAGAACATATGTGATGTTTTTCCATAGCTGCTATCTTCATATGAAACAGCTACTATCGTTATAAAAAGGGGCTGCTGGTCTACAGGTAACAGTCTCAGGCCGTGGCTTATCCCTTCCCCCTCAGTAGGTTCTCCAGGACCACCTGCGTCTGCTGCTATGGGTACAAACTGGTGCCATTGCTGGCCTACAGTTTCACATCATCGTACTGGCTCAATTCTGAACTGTGAAAAGCGGCTCCCCTTTGCCATTAGTCAGTTCATTTCAGGAGTACAATAGATTAGGAATGTTGTTTCTTCTCGGTTAATCGCCAGCCTGGGTTTTTGCTTTAAGCAGGTATGTGGCAAGGAGGGAGAAACAAGATTTATAAAATGGTATTAGCAAAACTCTGGTTTGTGTGGCTTTTCCCCCTTAGTGTTCACATCAAGGTTGAAGGGTGGTTAAGAGCCTTTGCTGCTCTTGCAGAGGACCTGAGTTCAGTTTCCAGCACCCACATCAGGAGGGTCATGAAGGATTGTAACTGAAGATCTAGGGGATCTGACATCAGCCTCTTGCCTTTACAGGCAACCACATGACGTGTGTACACACACACACACACACACACACACACACACACTAGAATGAGTTCTTATGGGTGGTGGCAGATCTTTGTGAGTTCAAGGTCAGCCTGGTCTACAAGAGCTACTTCCAGGACAGGCTCCAAAGCTAGAGAAACCCTGTCTCAAAAAACAAAAATAAAAAACAAAAAAGAAAGAATGAGTTCTTAGGTGCTTAAACACAGATCTTACGAACCTGGAAGGTTTAGGGCTGCTGCCACAGAGTATGTCCCCCAAAAGTCATGTTTTGGAAACTGGATCTCTGATGAGACAGGATGTGGAGACCTCTCGGAGCACTCTTCCTTCCCAAGTGCCTATCAGAAGGCTTGACAGAGGCAATCTCATCTTTGTGGTCATCCTGGAGGAAGTCGGCAGCCCTCACCAGACCCAGAATCTGCTGGAATGGTGACTGTGGACTTCCCCGCCACCAGAAATTGGGAGATTTCTATTTGCAAATGCCCAGTTTGGGGCACTCTGCTCCAGTAACACCGTCAGAGGAAGACAGATGCTTTGTTCACTGTTGCAAAGGCTACGAGTGATGACGCCTCCTCGGGGTAGGGAGAGAGAGTGGATGTCTGGGACTCAGTTCACATCACTCACCTGGGTCACCTTGCATTCGTCTGCGTCTCTACTCACTGGCACACCCTGTACTACCTCTTCAGTGGGAGCTGGTGACAGGATCCTTCACCCTTACATGCACGAGTGGGCTTCCAGGACTCCCTGAAGCCTGCACAGTGATGAAGCCCAAGGAACGGCTTTTCCACAGCCTCGCATTCTCAGTGGCGTTTTTTGAACAGGAACCTTCTCGAGTCTGAAGAGCCTCTGTCTTACTTATAGATAGAATCTCACTATGCAGCCTAGCCTGGCCTTGAACTTGGTATCCTCCTGTCTCAGCCTCCCGAGTGTGGGGATTGGAGGCGTGTGCACTACGCCTGACAACAGCCCGTTTCTGTAGTTTGGTACTGGACTTTTTTGAAAGTGAAGTTCAAAGCCAGGAAAACAATGTCCAGCCATAGAACATGTCTCATGCGATGTGCTCACCTGTCCAACCTCCCAGAATGCCACCCTTACCTCCACACTCAGACCTGCAGAGCAGTTTACAGGGGACCCAGGAATACGCACGCATTCTGCCCTGCTTCCAAGAACTCTGCGTACAGTTGGTCTACAAATCACGCTGACTGGTGACACCTTAGGCTATGCCTACATCAGGGGATCTGCCAGCTGCGTGAACTGTGACTTGGGCATCTGACTCACTGTCCGCCTAAGGGAAGGAATATCAACATAAGCAGAAACATCACAAAAGGACAGTTACTGACAGAAGAACCCCAGGAGGCCCAGGCTTTGCACCATTTTGCTGTCTGTTTATTTCAAGTTTACAGAGAAGCTTAATCACCTGTGGGCAAACAACTTATCTTTTTTCTTCAGATCATGTACTTGTAAGTGATAAATACACAGTATTTAACTCTGTACACCCAATAAAAGGAAATGCATAGTAGAGAGGGTCCGGGGCAATCAAACAGAAGCAGAGGCCATCAGTCACCTAACGGAAAAGGTCAAAGTCCCATGACACTCAGCTCACGAAGCTGGAGAAGAGGGGACCAGCAATCTTCCCTAGCACCTTGGGAGCAATGGAGGCTCTGGCTCTGCACTGGCAATGTAAAGATGCCCTCGGGAAGATGGGCGAGGGCATGGGCCTAACCTGGTGTCAACTGGTACAGATATTCTCATTCTAGAAAGGGTCGGGGACAAGAACTCTGTCCCTGGAAAGGCCAGATCAGTAGGGAGCTGGCCTCTGTAGCCCTAAGTGATGAGGGGCTCTATAAGGTGTCTGGGGGCCACTGGTAGCCTGTGGGATGTATTGGGGAGGCAGAAAAGACAGAAAAAAGGGGGGGGGGACTTGTGCTTCCTTCAAGGCGTAGGTGCGGGCCAGGGTTGCCTATATATTAATCATGGATGAACCAGCACAGAAGGAACTGTGGGCATCGTATCTGCCCACACGAAAGTTGCTGAGGCAGCCTGACAATGCTTTTGAAAACAATGTTTGTGCTCTAATGCTCGGTCACGGCCAGACCTTTCTCACACTTTCCACGGCAGGCAGCGAGGCAGGATGGGAGCGAGGGGGACGCTCCTTTCCACGGCTTTCTTTGGTGTTTCAGTGTTTAAGAAAAAAGTTACCCAATGTGAACCTCTCAACCCCGGTGCTGCCTGGATGGCTGGCAACCCTCTTCCGACATCTCGGATGGAAAGCTCCCTGGCGGGGAGAAAGGGCACTGTCCAGCAGGGCTGTGTAAACACAAGAAGAGTTCTGCAGAGCTCCACACAGTGCCTGTCCTCCCAGGCGGGCCACTAGGCCGAGCCAGAGTCCAGGCAGACAGGCTGGGACTGAGCCTCAGGGCCTGTCAGCTTTAACTACCACAAGGTACTTATTGCAAACTAGCTGAACCCCATCTGTGGCCAGAAGGGTTAAAGCTACTGGGTTAGTTCTCCTTATATTTAAAAGAGGGAAACCGATAGAAAGTCCTTGGTCACAGAGACAATGCAAGCAGGTGAGAGGGTCAGCCCACACACACACGCACACACACACACACATTGGAGTCTTTGCTCTAATTCTAATTGCTTATGTGACAGCAAGAAAGGCCTGGCAAAACTACAGTCAAGAGCTTAAGAAACCCTCTGGACGTCAGGAACGCCTGGGCTCACTCCCGCCTCTGCAAGAAGACCTGCACGGAGGCTCACCAGGCGGAGACTCCCAGAAAACAGTCTTCTGAGCCCGGTTACTGACGAGACAATCACTACCAGATCGTTCCAAAACATGAAAAGCAGAGTCTGGACTGTTGTATACATAATAAATAAAATCATTTAAAAAAAAAAAAAGAAAAGCAGAGTCTGGAAGGCGCTTTAAATTTCATGTCTTCTTCTGCAGCCCTGGGTACTCACCTAAACCTTTATCAAACTTCCAATATTGGCTGGAAGTCAAGAAGGTCCACGTTTACTCTCTAGGCCTCTGGCTACCAAGGAAAAAAAAGAAGGTCCTTTGCCCTGAGGAACATTCTGGGTTTTGACGCTTTTCTGTACAATGGCACCCCGATGTCACTGTGTGGGTCACACTAAAGCTCTGATCCTAAGGACAGCCATTTGTGCCTAAGCTGAGTGACAGCACTGCCCACAGGAAAGTGATGTTTCCTTGACTGTATCAACCAGACAGTATTTAAGACGGAAGAAACCTTACAGTCTCTAGAACACACAGGTAACAAACAAGCAAAGCCGCTAATATACAGGCACAGGTTTCATTGACGCTCAATCCCCATCACACAATGGCGTGGCGGAAGATGACAGACCCTGGAAGCTCCAATATGTACCTTGTGGATGTCTCCAGAGTCCAGGCTAGAGACGTGGGAACATCTGCTGAGTCTAAGCCATGTAACGTACACGAAAGTGCAGGCTTTCACCGAGGTCTTTGCCAATTTATAGAGAAAATGAGCTTAGCTGATGACCTCAGAAATGCACCGTGAGCAGCTAACATGAAGCCTTTGCCATCACAGCTGCCGAGTGCTCTTTCAGGGTCGCAGAGCCCCCTCGAGTACTTCAACTGCAAGCCCTTTTAGCTTTCCTGACTAGAATTTTACCCATTAAAAAAAAAAAAAAAACTTAAGTCTCCATTACAAATAAATTACACTGAAGTTCCCCGCAGCTCCTGAGGGCTAGCCCTGTTCTTCCATAGTCCTGGAAGGGTCTCGCTGAACCTTCCATTCCCTCAAGTGCCGCCCCAGCCAGCAGGAGTTTCTCCACCTGATTCTCCACGCAGCTCAAACCCCACACACATTCACTTGGTACATCCGACATGGTTCTGAATTAACAATGAAGGGTTTTTGTTATGGCATAAAATGTTTTAAAAAGCAATTGTCCCCAAATGCATGTTGGTCTGGGTTTGCAACTCCTCACCCGCCGGTCCGGCCAGCCAGCAGCCAAAGTCGACGTCATGGAGTCATGTCCTTTTTTTTTTCTTTGTCCCCTTAGACAACAAAGGAAAAAAAAAAAGAAAAACCACATACACACACAAACACACACGCACACACGCACACCCCAAAAATTCCCAAACAAACAAACAACCCGGATAACCAGAGATGACAGTCAAGGCTCTACACACGTGCTTGGTTTCCGTAGGACATGCTGCTATGGAAACGCAGGGTGCAGCAGACCCGTGCAGGGCCACACAGCCAGGCATGCGAGGTCGGGTGATCCAGGCAGTTACTCCAGCTCCATCGCCGCCTCCTCAGGCTGCAGTGGAGGCATGTGTGGTGGGGAGCCGGGGGCCAAAGCTCCCCAACTTTCCACGCAGGGACCACCTTTCACAAGAGTACTTCCTCCTCCCCCACAGGGGCTGGCTCGGGGCCCCGTAGGCTGTCTTCGCTGCCTTGTTTCCTGCTCACCGAACAGAAAATCAGCATTAAGACTTGGAGAAATGATGGCGGAGCCCTGGCCAGTTTCCCACCTTTGCAGGTCTCTGCCCTTGGGGGTCACATCCACTCTTTTAGGTGTGTTCCCCATTTCTATTGGCTCACTTGAATATCTCAAAGCCGACTTTACCTCCCCTGTAAATGGAGGAGCAAGATTTACCCCAAAGAGCAAAGAACTATAAAACTGGTACCAAACTACTTATGACACCCCATTCATGGCAGGGTCCTACAGCGGGGTGTGTTCCCTGACGTCTCATCTTTACACTCTAGGCTAGAAGTGCCTATGGGACAGACACTGTGACCCTTTTTCTCAGTCACTCCACAGTTAGCTGCTGGGGCAGTGCCAGGGCCTGTATGAACTGGTCTGTCACATGGAGCCTTTAGGAAAAGCCTGCAACACCCAGTCCATCCTCCTCACCTACTCCCTTCTCAGAAGAACCCCTCACAGCCCACTAGACCTGCCTGGAGGCCAGCAGGGATGGAGTTTCAGCAGATGGAAGGGGGTTCTGAGGAGGGGACCCAGCCACAGGCTTTTTTCTAGCAGAGCCCCCTTGTAGGAAAAGTCCCTAGCCTTGCCACTCAGGGCTGGTCTAACTCTCAACAATGATCTCTGTGCTCTACCCAAACAGGGGCCTCTGTTCCTGCATAGGGAAGGTAAACTGTGGTGTCCCTGTGTCCCTAAGGAAGAAACACATGTCTGAGAATTACATTATCTGCCCTTTTATTTTTATATTCCAGAGGTGAGGGTCCTGGGAAGGATGCCTGCCCTCAAAGCTGCCAACTGCTGCAGGCCGGGTCTTGCTGTAGCCAGACCTCGGCTCAGGATCTTCCACAAGTTAGTTCTACAAATGCCCAGCCCTGGCAGGTAGCCCAGGGTGATGCTGTGTCTGCTGACTGGGGAATGAAGGAGCAATACAGTACTGAGCAGTCTTAGTCTGCTGGTACCACGCCATTCTGATCTCAATGGAAAACGAACCAACAAAAAAAGAAACGTCGAACAAATTTTGCTCAGGGTCAGGAGGCAGCCTTGGTTTTGGCCTTACCAGAGAGAAAAGACAAGGCCCATGAAAGGCTCTATTTCTCATAACACAAGGGTGAGGCTACAGGTCATCTGGGAACAAGGTGGGGACAAGGCAGACACCTGTTCTAATGCTAATCTGGACACACCTCCCTGGCTCTCACCTCAAAAAATACTATTCCCAAACAGCAGGTGTTCTTTTACATCACATGAGCCCCTGGCTCCAAGGATACAGGTGGCCAATGAACATCCTCATATAAACCAACAGCCAATGAGGAGAAAACAGTTCTTGCCTACAACGTTCACAGAAGGCTCATTCATTTGTGACAGCCAAGAGAGAAACACCTTCCACCAATGGACCAAATATTACTATCCATACAAATACTACTCGGTTATGGAAAGGAAGGAAGTACTGACACTTGCTGCACTGTGGATGGCCCTGGAAACAGGCTGCTGACAGAGAGAAGGCAGACATGAAAGCCACACACTGTATTATTATCCCACTTACAAAACCCTCCAGCATGGACAAATCGGTAGAAAACTGAACATGCCTCAGTGGACACTGGAAACCAAGAGGTGTGAGTGGAGACAGCTCAGAGGAGGAAGGGCTACGTAAGTGACTGTACTGCAGTTTACAATGATGAGCTATGGGGTGTTAGTTATCTTATAGTAAAATTGAGCTTTTCATTTGTTTGCAGTGCTGGGGATGATGGAACGCACGGCGTTGTGCATGCTAGGTGAGTACTCTACTGAAGAGCTCCAGCCCCACCTTTGATAAAGCTATTGCGTGTGTATGTGCATGTTCACAAATGTACGGAAGCCAGAGGTCAACTTCAGGCATTTCCTCAGGTACCATCCACTTTGCTTTTGGAGCTAGGCTGACTAAACCGTCAGCTCTAGGGATCTGCCTGTCTCCACCTTCCCAGAAAACTCATGATACCGCACCTGGATTTTACATGGGTTCTGGGGGATTGAACTCAAGTCCTCAAGCTTGTGTGGAAAACACTCTAACTTAACGATCTCCCTGTCTCCAATAAAGTTACTTTTAACAAGAGAAGTGGCTGACAGGGGCTCCCAATAGAGTCAGGCAGCCTCATCAGGGTCAGTGTCCTGAAGGAGGCACTTGGAACAGGGTTACCAAATGGGTCCACCCAGCAAAAGTGTTCATCTGCCCTGGAAGTTGTAGGTTAACGCTGCCTGATAGATATGCAGGCAGGTAGGAGAAAGCTCCGATCTGGCTAAGGTCACAGACAGGTGGATTTAGTTATAGAATTTCCCACCAGAGCTGCAGAGAGAGCCCTAGTGAAGAGCAGAGTGCATCAGGCCTGCTGTGTGCACACTTAGAGCACAGCCCCGGGCCCCAGTAGACCTTCAATGCCATCGATGTGCACAGCTATGCAGCTATCCAGATGGGCCTGAAGACCTGGGTAAGTTTACAGGCATTCCAGGTGGAGCGCCATGCACCGCAGCCCAGCCCACATGCATGGCACGCCATGGGACCCAAGCCCCTAGATGCCCCTTATTGTAAGCCTAGAGGCCTTGGGTGAACCAGGCACAGCAGCTCAGGCTGAAGGCACATCTGCCTGGTGGAGATGCCCACGTGCTCTGCAGATGCCCGCCCCCAGGCCCCAGCGAAGGGGAGGCGATGGCACAGGCAGGCAGACAGGCATTACCTTGGGCTCAGACAAGGGCTCCCATTCCCTGGTTGGTTTTTTGCTGGAATTGCCGGAGGAAGGGAAAAGGGAAGTAAGACGGGACCCTGGGGATGCCCCCACACCCCAGAGACAGTAGACCCCAGCATCTGACACACAGAACCTATACCAGGGTAGTCTGTGTGAGCAGGTGAATGGACACATGTTCACACAGAAAGTCCCAGAGTGAGACCATGTGACTCATCAATCATAATACTCATGTTTCCGGGGCCACAGACTGCTGCAACCCAGAACGCCTCAGTGAAAGAGCCAGTTCTCAGAGGAGGCGGAAGCTTCAGGGTATGTACACTGCCAACAGGTGGACGCTGGCTGAGCTAAGGAGGCTGTAAGAGCAAAGCCAGGGCCTACTGACGTCCCCAGTGTGTCTCCCTCCCCAGGACTGGAGGGAAGGTGGGGGTCACTCACGTGAGCAGGTTTCCAGGTGCTGACAAGGAACGTTCCTCCCGCCGGCTGCCCTCAAATGGGTTCCCGAAAGAGCGTTTCCGAATCATGGTCTTCACTAGGATCTGAGGAGGGAGAAGGAAGAGGGGGTGGTGATGGCTGGGCCACAGGAGGTTCCATGCACCCTCTTCTCTTTGGCCCCTGCCAGCTCCCAGGGCTCATGACTCTTGCAGGCCCTTCCTACACAGGAGCCACCAGCCAGAGCCACCCTGAGCCTAGGGGCAGCTAACTTACTGGAGCCCGTTCCCTGCCTGCCCTAAGGTCCAGGCTCAGATAGTGGCTTGTTGTGATCCAGTTCCCAGCCTACCCAGGCCCAAGACCCTGTGTTCCCCAGAGAGCTGGCTATGCGTCCCTTAGCCATCGCTGAAAGTCACATGAGGTCATCCTACTCTATCCCACAAGAAACAATTCTCACAATTCTCAGGGAAGAGATGATGTGTTTTCAAGATTGAGAGTGAATTCACACAAGATAAACTCACCATTTTAAGAGTCCAGAGCTACCAAAGCTATGGATGCTCAAGTCTCTTATAGAAAGGAGTTCAGTATTTGTAAATAATGTCTGCATATTCTCCAGTGTACTTTAAACCACCTTGAGCTAATTTAGAACACAGAACATAATATAAACACTTTGTCGATCGCTAGAGCTAATCACTTAGAGCATGACAAGAAGTCAGGTTTACGTGTCTGGTGTCTTTTTTCATATATTTTTGATCGGCGGTTAGCTGAATTTATAGATGTGGAAACCAACTGTATACACTGAGTGGTTTTTAGTATATTCACATCACCTTAATCCAGTTTCAGTAGTCATTCCGAACCGAATCCTTCCCCACACAGCCCTTAGCAACTACGAATCTTCTTGTCTGTGTGTGTGTATATATACATATACACACAATATATACATACACACCTATTCTGAGCATTTCCTATATACAGAACCAACTGCTACTAGCCTTTTTTGTCTAATTGTTTTTAAATTAAATTTTTTATTTATGTATATGAATGATTTCCTGTATGTATGTATGTGCACTGTCTACATGCCTGAAGGTGAGAAGAAGTTATGGATAGATATAAACTGCAAATGTATGCTGGGTGCTTTGCTAGAGCAGTGAGTATTCCTATACATCTCTCCAGATCCTAAAAGAGTTTCTTTTGTTGTTGTTGTTTTGTTTTTATTTTGTTTTTCGAGACAGGGTTTCTCTGTGTAACAGCCCTAGCTGTCCTGGAACGAGATCTTGTAGACCAGGCTGGCCTTGAACTCACAAAGATCCGACTGTTTCTGCCTCCAGAGTGCTGGGATTAAAGGCAAGCACCACCACAGACCGGTTTGTTTTGTTTTTAAATATTTCCTATGTATAGAGACCAGAAGAGGGTGGTGGATCCCTTGGAACAAGAGTTACTGACAGTTGTGAGCCTCTATGCGGGTATAGATGGCTGAGCCATCTGTCCAGCCCCTAAGGTTTTCAGACTTTTTATTTGTGGTGTGTGTAGGTGTAGGGTGCACATGTGTGGTGTGTGTAGACGTAGGGTGCACATGTGTGGTGTGTAGATGGTGCACATGTGTGGTGTGTGTAGGTGTAGGGTGTGCATGTGTGGTGTGTAGGTGTAGGGTGCACATGTGTGGTGTGTAGATGGTGCACATGTGTGGTGTGTAGATGTAGGGTGCACATGTGTGGAGGTAGAAGACAATCCCTGCTGTTGGGCCTTGCCTTCCACCTTATGTGTGTGTGTGTGTGTGGGGGGGGTGTCCCTCTAGCTGTTCACTGCTGTGTATGCCGGGCTAGTTGGCAAGGGAGCTTCCAGAAGATTCTCCTGTCTGCCTCACGTCTTCTTGTCAGGATGTGCTGAGATTAGTCTGACATTTTACATGGGTTCTGGGGATCTGCACTCAGGTTGCTGGGCTTGCCTCTAATTCCAGCTCCGAGGGATCTGATGCCCTTGTCTGGCCTCCATGTCTGCATGAATGTGCATCCATATTCAGTCACCCATGCACACACAATTACACAGAATGTAAAAAACTCTTCAAATATAAGGGAAAAATAAAAAGGTAGAAATATTCAAATGTCCATTAGTTGGAAAATGTAAAACCTGCAGCACATCAGTGTAGCTGAGTACTCAGGAATGAAGCGCCCATACAGCTACCACAGGGGTGAGCCTTGGACACCTGACACTAGTAAAAGAAGCCAGACACAAAAGGCCACACAGTGCAGGATTCCACAGACACCTAATGTCCAGCACAGATCAACAGAGGCAAAAAGCAGACCATCTCCAGGGGAGAGGGGGGAACAACACGAGGAATCGGGGGTTTCTTCTGATGTGATGAGAACTTCTCACAGCAGGGTACTGAGGACGGTACTGTCAATGTCCCAAATGCCAATGATGGGCTCACTCTGGAATAGTTAAAGGCAAGGAAAGCCAATGGAGAATAGAAGTCACAACCAGAGAGGCTTACAGTGACTGGTAGGCCCCTTTCTCTGGGCTTTGGTGGGTGTTGTGCCCTGGCTGCGTTTTCTGTCAGCCTCCCCTTCTGCACCCAGCACTGGCCTCTGATCGCACGGGAAGGTTGCTCTCTGGGTCCATCTTTCTCAGAAGGTTGGAGCCCTGAGAACTGGTACCACGGCTCATCTCAAGACTGGCATGTGACAGGCACTCAGTAATGACAGGGACAGACCGCATCTCTCCCAACACGGACACATCCCAGCACCTGTTACCTCTCTTTCTGTGCTGCTAGGGTGGAGATTTAAACCTCTACCTTCATCCTTCAGCAGTGTGGGCTTTCTGGGAGTCTCTTGTTTGATACTACCTCTCACTCCCTGTGCGCCCTCTCAGCAGGTTACACCCTGCCATTCTGTGTTCACCCATTTCTTTTTTCCAATTTTTATATTACGTGATTGTTTTGCCTACATGTATATCTGTGCACCACTTGCATGCCTGGTACCCACAGAGGCCAAGAGGTTTCAGATCCCCTGGAACTGGAGCTGCAGACAGCTGTAAGCTCTGAGTACTGGGACTCAAACCTGGATCCTCTGAAAGAAGAGCAGGTACTCTAATCACCGAGCTCTCTCTCCAGCCCCATTTGAGCCATCACAGGATCTGCCCCTCGTTTAGTCCGTCTATTACAACAGACATGTACTTCTTGGCATGACCATCTGCCTCCCACTGAAGACAGAGAACATGTGTGTTGTGCTAATAGCTGTCCCCCTCCCTAAGGAACCAGTGACAGTGACCTACTCCAGATCCCCGGGCCAGGTGCTCTCCCTCCAGAGTGATCAGGGGAACAGAACCACACACAACGGCCGAGTCGGACCCAGCTTCCTTTCCCACCACAGGCACAGGACAGGGTGCGTGGGTGAAGGGTAAACTAGGAGAGGGGAGTGGGTGGGTGAATGAGTCTGTGAGTGGAGGTCATGCAGAGCCCCGGGTGGGAAAAGAGGAGACATGAATGGGTGCCCGACCCCAGAGCTCAAGTTCTAAAGAAGGCAAGAGACAGCGTGGAGTAAGCGAGAGAGAGCAGGCAAGCAGAGAGCAGGGCCAACTCCCAGACTCCCAAAAGGACCCTTGAGACCGGGCTGCTTGTCTGCTGGGGCTGGGCCTGGCCAAACAGAACCTGGGCTCCTGAGAAGGCTGTGGATGCTTGGAGCCTGAACCCCTGGGCCTCCCACCTCCCTCCTGGAGTCAGACACCCTCCTGGGGGGCTGGCAATGAGGCGGCTCCTACAGTCTCTAAACTGAGGCTTGAAGACTACTTCCTTCTCCCAGAGCTAGGACCCAGATTCAAGATCACAAAAAGGAGCCCAGTGTCTCCCTTGTGAAACCCTATATCACAAGATCGGGAAGAACTTTCTGCAGTGTGAGAACTACCCACACGGCAGATGTGTCCCGCACCAGCTGAGAACCCTGCCTCGAACTCCGAGGCTCCAGGCCCATTGCTTACTCTGGTTCGCTTGTCCTCACCTTCCTGGCTCCTCTTCCCTAACATGCTCTGAAAGCACCAATTCCAGAAGAGTTATACGATGCCTGGGCGCGGGGGCTGCCCACCTCTACAGAAATCTGGGAGCCCCAGGGCTACCTGGCCCAATGAGTGGCTATGAGTCAGGAGTAACTCCAACAGGATCCTGATCCTCAGATCCCACATCTGCTTGCTTCCCAGGCATCTGGCATGTGTCCAGCCCTGTCCTCTCTAGCCCTGCCTCAGGTGCTCTCAGTTCTTGCTCTTGGTCAGTGGGCCTTCCCGCCTTACCACAGTCGCCAGGCTGGGAATGTGTTTGACTGAATTCTCGACCTCCTCTTCGGTCACCTCGACCAGTGTGCAGTTCTCGTCCTCCGATGGCAATGGTTCGGCCCCGTGCCTCGTGACCCAAGGGTGCAGCTTCAACGAATGACAGGAGGGGTGAGGGACAGGCGCCACTGGTTCCCATAAGGCCCTGCCAGCGAGCAGTGCCAAGGAGGGCATGCAGGAAGGAGAGGCTAGGGCCGGGGTCAGGCATGCGGTAGAGCCAGTGATCCCAGCAGGGAGGGTAGGCGAGTGAGAAGCGAGGAAAGGAGAAAAGGTGGAGACAGAGTGGGAGGGCTGCAGAGCTGTGTATGTGCAGGGGCGGGTCTCCGTCTGGTTCCTTGTCATGGCAGGAGCAACCAGAACCTGACTATAGCCTTGCCCCGCTGCCCCAGGGCAGCCAATGGTCCCCACCAACTCTTCCTGAACGAAGAGGTTGTATTCTATGCATTTTCCCATCCACAGAAGAGGAAACAAGGAGTTATAGAGGGGGCTGATGGAATGGCACACTCCGAAGAGCACCCAAGTCCCCTCTCTGGGGTCCAAGTCCTTATCTGTGACTTTTGGACCCTCTTAAAGACACCCTTTCAGTTCAAGTGAGCCAGGCGCCTCAGAAATCCTGGACCGTATCTCGAAATATCTGTCTGTTTTTCCTTCCTTCCTTCTTTCAACATGGCCACATCTCAAGTTGGCCTCTACAGGATGACCTTAAACCTCTGATCCTGGCCCACCCACCCACACACACACATGCTGTGATTCTAGGCATGCACTACCACGTCCAATTTATACAGTACCGGAAACAGAACCTGGAGCTTCATGCACGCCAATCAATCATTCTATCCACTGAGTGATATACCTAGCCCATGTTGGGATTTATTGTTTTAAGGGCCAGAAGTGTGTACTGGGCACTGGCAGGGGAATGCGAAGTGGCAGATAAGGCCTCTGCTGAAAAGACTTTCTACTAGGGTAGTATTCAGCAGGCAGAGGTTGAACTGCCCACTAGCTTCTTCCCACCCTCTCAGCAGTTTCTCGAAGGGACCGGCCCACACCTTTGATAGGGCCAAAGAAAGGACTTGAGGTTCAGCAGCCAGAATGTGGAGCACACAGAGGCTTTGGATCACTCTTCGAGGGTGGACACCATCAGCGCAAGCCAATGGGAGCAAGCGCAGGCAGCCCCGCTGATGGTCACAGCTCCCACAGCGCCCACAACCATCAACACTCGCCCCTGCTCCCAGCGGCACCCAGCAGCCCAGAGGCTCCGGGACATGGGAAGGCAGAGATGCCAGCAGGGTGTGGTGCTGTGGATAGGACCGAGCCAAACGTTTCCAAGCACAGGCCACAGGCCTCAAGTTCAAGCCTCCTTAGCCAGCAGCAGTCATGTACCTTGATCTCGGGCACCACAATCCTGGACTCTGGGTTCTTGTCCAGCATTCGGGTGATCAGATCTTTCAAGTCTTCAGCTATATCAGGCCTGGGGGTGGAGACACATCATGGATAGATCACAAAAACCTCGGGAACCTGACCGCTAAGGAATTAGAAGCAGGTGATGAACAGACAGGCTCTACTCACTGGTCTGGAAACTCCAGGGCCTGGCTCTTGATCTTACTGTGCAAACACATGATCCGCTCATCCATGAACGGGCACTGTGGAGAGGCCAGGGAGGATGGCGGTCAGCGGCTGCCACCTGCACCCTTCAGAGGCCATCTGTGCTGTGCCACCCCTCAGGGACCACGACAGAGAAATGAACAGCAGTGGCCCAGGCTAGAGAGGAAGCAGGAACCACTGCCCTTCACTCTACCCCCAAATCTATGAAGGAACGGGAATGCCAAGCTTGTCTCCAGCCCTTCCCAACTGCACCACTGACCTGCTTTGTTTCCTACCGACACAAAAGCAAACACTCTTCCCCACCCTCCTACTCAGAGACCAGTAAGGAAGCTAAGACTAGTACGGGTGTACGGGCGTCTGGGTGTGCGTGAGTGCACGTGTGTGTGTGTATGAGAGAGAGAGAGAGAGAGAGAGAGAGAGACAGAGACTGTGAGAGTTTAGTCTGGCTCAGGACCCGCAGTCACTCATCCATGACCCAACATCAACATCATGGCCTGCTCTCCCCAGTCACACCTGACCAAAGCTACCTATGTGCGGCCTCGCCAGGCTTCCTACAGCAGACCTACCTCATTCTTGCCAACCACCATGCCCCAGCGGGGCACGTAACCCTGACATTACAGTCATTTGCTGGTAACTCCTTTCCACTGGGGCCTCAACACCAGCTCAGGACTTCCTGGTGGGCTCTTTCTCAGGAAGTCCTTGGCACAATAAAGACCTGCTGAACTAATGAAAATTGAAATTGGTTCTATCTTCTCAGGGGTTGTAAAATGTGTATTGAACTGGAGGTGCAGCTCAGTGGTACAAATAGTGCTTAGTATTCTATACAAGGTTTGATTGCTAGCTGGGGGCAGGCATGTTGATAAATTGATAGGACACTGTAATACAATGGTAGATTCCAGGTGGCAGGGTTTGACTTTTCACCGTAGAATTCTCTCAACTTTATACTGAACTGAAAATTGTTTGAAAGACTGAAGTCAAAAGAATTTTTTCTTGGGGCTGGAGAGATGGCTCAGAGGTTAAGAGCTCTGGCTGCTCTTCCAGAGGACCTGAGTTCAATTCCCAGCAACCACATGGTGGCTCACAACCATCTGTGTTGAGATCTGGCGCCCTCCTCTGGCATGCGGGCATACATCGAGGCAGAATGTTGTATACATAATAAATAAATCTTTAAAAAAAACTTTTTCTTTTAAATACATATATATAAATGTGTGTGTGTGTGTGTGTGTGTGTGTGTGCATGTAAGTACAGTATATGCTGTTTGCATGCAGTGCCCTTGGAGACCAGTAGGGGGAGTGAGATTCCCTGGAGCTGGAAATTCAGCCCTTTGTGAGCAGCCAAGTGGGCACTGGGAACTGATCCTGGGTTCTCTCTGCAAGAGCAGAGAGTAACTTAACTGCTAGGCCATCTCACTAGCTCCAAAAAGAATTTTTTAAAATAAATACTCCAGGAAAATAGTTTAAAAACAAAACAAAACAAAAAAAAAAAAACAAAAAAAAACCCCTCCTTTGTTTCTACATAGAACAAGATTTTTTTCCTTCGAGACAGGGTTGCTCTGTATAGCCCTAGCTGTCCTGGAACTCACTATGTAGACCAGGCTGGCCTTGAATTCAGGGATCCACCTGCCTCTGTCTATGGCTAGTTTTGAAACAAGATTCCTAAACTTTCCTCCACAGGAACACAAGCTCAAAAAGGGAAGGAGCCAGGTTTTTATTGCTCAGAGACTTTAGAGTTGAAAGAGGTGCCTTGCCAGGTATAATGGTGCACTCCTTTAATCCCAGCACTTGGAGGCAGAGGCAGGTAGATCTCTGTGAGTTCAAGACCAGTCTGGTCTACAGAGCTGAGTTCCATGACAGTCAGAGGAGCTACACAGAGAAACTCTGTCTGGGTAGGTGGGGGACACACAAGAAAAAAAGAGGAAAAGAGGTGCCTCTGAACATGAATAATGTTAGGACAGTAGAAAAAAGAACCATAACAAGAAGACAAAATACCATTCCCTAAGTCAATAATTACCTTTGAACTGATTCCCATTCCCATTCTACCCCCAGCAACAGTGGCTAGGAACACTCTGATGAAAAGAACACAGTACTAAGGAGCTTCAAGGAACACAATGATTGACTAGTGATATCTGTCTGTCTCAGGCTCGGGAATGGAGAGAGGTGGAATATTTGTTGTCTGTGCCCTAAACTCATCAACTATCTAGAATCTCCACACAGTCTCTGCTGATCTATTCCATTCAAACATTTCTATATAGATGAGACTATCGTCAGCGATATGCATGTTACAAAGGATCTGTTTTAGCTATTTGTTCAGCTGTGGAGATACCATCTGCACATAAGAACCAGTCACCCACAGCAGTCCTACGACAGAACACGCCACCCTCTTACCTGGCCAAAGACAAAGCAGTACAGAGTCACACCCATGGCCCAAACATCCAGGGCCTGAAAGGAAACGGAAGGTTAGTGTGATACTCAACATCTGCTTTCGCAGGTCCAATAACCAAGTCTCCAACCTCCTTGGGAACCACCTTTTCTCCTTTTGGTTTGTTTGTCTCTTTTTGTTTTTCAAGACAGGGTTTCTCTGTATAACTACTCTGGCTGTCCTAGAACTTGCTTTGTAGACCAGGCTGGCCTCAAACACACAGAGATCTACCTTTGCCTCTAGAGGTCTGGGAATAAAGGCTAAACTACCTTTTCTTAATCCACACTCTTGGGGTGGAGCAAACTCTGAATCCTAGCCTTTTTGGTTGGGACATGACACACTGGTATAGCCAATGAAATCACAACGCCCCAGCCAAAGCGGTTGGTCACAGGTTCTTTGCAGTGGCTATTCCGAGAGGACATTCTAGCTACTTAAGTTGACTACCTTATGAAAAGTAGCCTGCAGGTACTGGTGCCTGACCCACCCACAGGGAAACCAGCTTAGCAGAACAGAGACAAAGATGGGGAGATACCAATCCTTGCTTGAGTCCTCTAACTGGCTGATGATACTCATCAGCTACATGCCCAGTGGGCTTGCTTTCTGTACAGCTCTGTCGGATTTTTGCTACTTAGAACCAAAGAACCCTGAGACAGGCAGAACTCAGCAGAGACAGCCCTACCTTCCCAGAGAAGATCTTGCGGGTCTCTGAGAGCGACTCAGGTGCCATGAAGGCAGGTGTGCCCACGGTGTTGGACAGCAAGGCATCGCTGCCCTTGAACTCATTGCTCACACCGAAGTCAGCTATCTTGATGTGCCCATCCTCTCCCACCAGGAGGTTGGAAGGTTTGATGTCACGGTGGATGATTTTCTGGTAGTGTACTGGAAGAGAGGGAACAGGAAAACCCCATGAGAATCTCCACTTGGTCACTCTGATGCCTCATCTTCCAAGCCCCAGATCCCCTGCCCATGCATGCTCTGAGACATAAGGGGAAAGTGAATTTAAGGACGTTTATGCATTCTCGAAACACCAACTGTCTACGGCAATTTTTAACCACCTCTCATGGCCTATAAACAGTTTTTGTTGAGTCTCTAACATCCAGACAGGCACACTGACACTTGTGACAGTCAAACACTGTTTCATTTACCAATGGCTAACATTCATCATGGTCAGCAAGTCAACTAAGCCAGAGCAGGCTCATCTGAAGTATGAACCACAAAGCAGAACTGGGGACACAATCCTATGGTCTGGAAGTCACAAGTGCGAATTCTGGGCTAATGATGAATTTGATGGTGTAAAAGAGTAATAGCTCAGGGCTTCATTCTGTGTTTAATACTTCTCATTTATCCCGATTAACTGTCACAACCATTGCCCATGGCAGGCAGGGGTAAAAGTCACAATAGCCAACTCAGAACTACTGATGGCTACAGGCTGATCCCAACCCTGGTGAGTCACTTTATTTCATGGATGAGGAAACCAGGGTGCCGGGAGGAAAGAGGATCCCCACCCCAGGCTGCTGGACTGGGAAGATGATGCAAACAGAGCCCTCACTGTACCCGGTCTGCATAGAAAGTGCTGGAGTTTTAAAGCTCACTGATGGGCTGGGGAGAAGGCTCGGGCAGTAAAGGGTCACAGGCGAGAGGGTCTGAGTTTGGTCCCCAGTACCAATTAGGAAGAAAAAAAAAAAGAGTTGAGTATGGTGGTGTGGGGAAGCAGAGATGAGTGGATCCCAGGTCTATGGCCAGCCAGCCTGGCCTACCTGGTGAGGTCCAAGCCAAAGAAAGACTCTGTCTCCAAAATAATAAAATAAAAAATAAAAAGTTAATATATATATATAAATTAGTGTATATATACACACAAATTTTTGTCTTTCTATCTCTGTAGTCTATCACAATATATTAATAAAATAAACTAATAAAATAAAAAAGGGCTGTTCTCATCATAAAAATAAATAAAAAAGTTAAGACAAGGTGGAGAGCTCCAGAGGGAAGACACTGAGGCCCTCTGGCCTCCACATGAATCACATATATGTCCATGTCTACAAAATCTCACTATGCCACTGATCTTCATCTTCTCTGCAGCAGGGAGAAGGGCTTCCATTCCCAAGCACAGTCCACCATTCCCAGGACTGTGTGGGAGACCTCTGCAGCTCACACAATCTCCCAGGACCGTGTGGGGGACCTATGCAGCTCACACAATCTCCCAGGACCGTGTGGGAGACCTCTGCAGCTCACACAATCTCCCAGGACCGTGTGGGAGACCTCTGCAGCTCACACAATCTCCCAGGACCGTGTGGGAGACCTCTGCAGCTCACACAATCTCCCAGGACTGTGTGGGGGACCTAGACAGCTCACACAATCTCCCAGGACTGTGTTGGGGACCTATGCAGCTCACATAATTTCCCAGGACTGTGTTGGGGACCACTGCAGCTCACAGTCCTGTGTTCCCAGCAGGGAAACGAAGTACTTTCCATTTTCCACCCGCTAACTGGGACGCTAACTACCCAGAGGTGAGTGGTTCCCCACAGGCACGGCTTACAGTACTCAATGCCTTTGATCAGATCCTGGAAGTAGAACCGGGCCTGGTCTTCAGACAGTGGCTTGAGAGTGGGCACTTCCATCACAGGCCTGTAAGGTAGACACATGTATAAACAGTGTGCACCAGATCCAGCTAGCCCTGGCCCACGCTCTCCCTCAGAGCCCGGCTCCCCTCACTCAGCTTGCAGGGGAAGCCTGGCATTTCACCTGGGAGATGGATACTCACCCTTGGTTGACCAATTCAAACACTGTGGGAAGAGAAGGAGGTAAAACTGTCACACTGGGACACCGAAAATCCGCCTCCCTCCTCCTCATCTACCCTACCTCCAGCCTCTTCTAGACATTCTAAGCACAGAAGTGAATCCTGGGAGGCCTGAGGAGACACATACACAGTCCACTGAACCAAAGCTGCTCTGTGATGCTAGGACTGCAGGGAGACAAAGGACCTCCTGAGAGCCATAGGACCCCACACCTGAACTTGGAAAGCTGTATCTGGTGGTAGAGGCCTGTAATCCCAACTATACAGGAGGCTAAGGCAGAGGGAATAACAAATTCAAAGCCAGTCTGGACTACAGAGCAAGTTCAAAACTAGCCTAGCCAACTCAGTGAGCTCCTATTTCAAAAAGTAAAATGCGGGGGGGGGGGGGGGGGAACCAGGGATATAACATACACTAGGCCCTAGGTTTCAGCACCAGCAATGAAAGACCATACATGCATGTATTCATACACACACACACAAACAGAGCCAAGGGTGCAATGACCACACAAGCATGCACACACGCATGCATGCACACACACACAAACACAGAGCCAAGGGTGCAATGACCACACATGCATGCACACACACACGCATGCATGCACACACACACAAACACAGAGCCAAGGGTGCAAGGACCACACATGCATGTACACACACACGCATGCATGCACACACACAGAGCCAGGGATGCAGGAAGGAAAATAAAACCAGGGGGAAAGGAACTAAGGCTGGATCCTAGGCTGTCTTCTCATCTTTCCACTTGTACCCAGGAGAGGACTGATGTTATGTTTGTGTGGTGGGTTAGCTTCATCAACTTGACACAGCTTAGACTCACTTGGAGAGAACATCAGTGAGGGGCTGTCAACAGCTTGTGGCGTGACTTGGGGAACACTGTGTTTGTTGGAAGACTCAACCTAAATGTACGCAGCACTTTTTAGTACCAGGACACAGAGGAAGGAGAGCTTCACTTGTTTGCTCGCCTGGCTTGTAGTCTCGATGGTGAGTTCATCTCCCTGCTGCTGCCACTGCTGATTCCCATGCTGATATTAGAACCAGCTTGTTCAGGCTTCCAACACAGACTGAGACCAGCTGACCTACAGGAATCTTCCAGACTGTCAGTGCCAGACTGGTACTGCTGAGGAACCCAGCCACACAGGCTCTCTCCAGTATGAAAGCTATTGACAATATTGATAAATCTACTGTTGATATATATCTCTACTCTATGGGCTCTGTTCCTTAGAGAAACCTGACTAATACAACCTCCATATTCCCCCAGGACCCCGGCAGATCTGCTCTTGCCTTGGGCTGTGGTTACAAGTGCTGGCCTTTCTTGCTTTGGTTATTTATGTCTTACCTTGCAACTTCACAAACTCCTCTACCTTGTTTCCTCCCACCCGAGCACAAGCCACCAGCTATGGAGGACGCTGGCCTATTGAAACAGGTCTCTATTTCGGACACTGACAGTTCAGCCACTCTTGGGGTTGAGTGGTGGGCAGAAGCTTCTGTTGTTTTTGTGATTAGGAACTGAACCCTGGCCACATACACGCCACACAAGTGCTCTGAGCTGTAGCTTCTGCTAATTTTTATTATTTTTAATTACAGGTATGTGTGTGGGGTCTGTGTACATGTGTGTAGGTGCCCTTGAAGGCCAGAGGCATCATAGTTCCCTGGCTCTGGAGTTATAGGCACTGTGAACCCCCCATTATGGGTGCTAAGAACCAAACTCAGATCTCTATAATAACAGTTCAAGCTTTTTTTCTGGGTTTCTCGATTTGTTTTATGATAGGGTTTTACTATACAGCCCTAGCTGGCTTAGAACTCACTATGTTGACCAGGATGGCCTCAAACTCAGAAATGTGGCTGCCTCTGCCTCCCAAGTGTTGTCTGCTGTATTCTGAAGGAAAATGGCCCCCACAGGTCCACAGAGAGTAGCACTATTTGAGGTAGCTTTGTTGAAGGAAATGTGTCACTAGGGGTGGGTTTTGAGGTGTCAGATGCTCAAGCCAGGCCCAGTGTCTCACTATCTTCCTGCTGCCTGCTGATCCAGATGTTGAACTCTCAGCTACCTCTCCAGCACCATGTCTGCCTTCCCACTGCCATGCTTCCCACCATGTGACAATGGACTTCACCTCTGAACTGTAAACCAGCCCCAATTAAACATTTCCCAATTAACTGTTGCCACAGTCATGGTGTCTCTTCACAGCAACAGAACACTAAGACATCCTCTATAAGCGTGCCTGCCTGAATTTATGTGCACTGTAGGAGCCTGTGGAGGCCATAAGGCATCAGATCACCTGAGATTGGAGTTTACAGGCATTTGTGAGCCACTAGATGTGGGTGCTGAGAACAAACTTGAGTCCTCTGACTGATTCATGTCTCTAACACCTGTTTTAACTTGTAGAAATATAGATGTTTTCTACCCTTTGAGCCCCTGGCCTGCTATTAAAGTCTCTACACTGCTCACCCTCTGTCCTCAGCACTCTTGGCTGTGGCTGGAAAATGTATGGACTCTCATCCTATTTTACCAACCCAGAGCTCTGGTTTCTTTCTCCGTGAACGGTCTATTATTCTCATTTTCCTTTTGTGTAGTGTTGTTACCTTCACCGCCTTTGCACTGCACTTAGGTGACTGCTCTGAGAATGTTTTAAGATGTTTCCTGAGAAACCTAAAAGGGACATGGATACGGTAGCATTTGTTAAATGAACAACCTGCTCCGGCACAGGCACAGGCTTTTGGAATTCAGAGTGAGAAAATTACTGTAGGAGTAAATAGGCTCAAATAATTTTTCAAGTTTTCTGATTAAATTTAGATTTCACTTGCTTGCTTGCCATGTATTCAATTTGGCTCCCTCTACAGACCATGTAAATTAGTGTTTATTGAATGTTTTTTTTTTTAAAGTTTATTTATTATGTGTACAATATTCTGTGTGTATGCCTGAAGGCCAGAAGAGGGCGCCAGACCTCTTTACAGATGGTTGTGAGCCACCATGTGGTTGACTGGGAATCATGTGGTTGACTGGGAATTGAACTCAGGACCTTTGGAAGAGTAGGCAATGCTCTTAACCACTGAGCCATCTCTCCAGCCCCATTGAATGTTTTTTTTTAGAGATTTTTTTGTTTTTGTTTTTTCAAGACAGGGTTTCTCTGTAGCTTTGAAACCTGTCCTGGAACTAGTTCTATAGACTAGGCTGGTCTTGAACTCACAGAGATCCTCCTGCCTCTGTTTCCCGAGTGCTGGGATTAAAAGTATGCGCCACCACTGCCAGACTAATGTTTTATTTTTCATATTTCCATACCCTAACACGCACGCACGCACGCACGGGAAAGGTCAGACACTGAATGCAGAATGTAGACCTTGCACATTCGAGGTACACAGACCACCATGAGATACACTCACTCGTGTTTCTCTTTAAGTTGACTCAGTTTCTTTTTTGTTTTTCAGACAGGGTTTCTCTGTGGAACAGTCCTGGCTGTCCTGGGACTCACTCTGTAGACCAGGCTGGCCTCAAACTCACTGAGATCCACCTGCCTCTGCCTCCTGAGTGCTGGGATTAAAGGTGTAAACCACCACCGCCCGGCTTAATTGACTCAAGTTTATAATTTTTTTCCTTGGTTTTTGAGACAAGGTCTCACTTCACAGCCTCTGACAGCTGGCCTGGAAACCACAGGTAGGTCCTCCTGTCTCTGCCTCCCAGATGTACCATCATTCCTGATGTCCTCACCATTTGTAAATGACATCTCTGAAGACACACCTGAGCTTTAGTCTGTGAGTAGGACCCAGATCTTGGATTGCCTCACCATGGCTTCTCAAACTCATCATTCTTACCCCTGACTCTTCTCCCTACTTATGAGCACCCCTATTTTTAAATTCTTAATGCCTTGGGGCGTTCCCACCTGCTCTTCCTCTATGCCCTGCCCAAGTGTAACATGGCCAAATCCTTGACATTCAGGTTATCCTGTAGGAAGTGGTTTCCAGTTTCTCTGAATCACCCTAATTACTCTTAAAACATATAAAGTTCTAGTTTATTTATCAACACGCTTTCCTGTCTGGGATATCAGGTATAAAGGTCTCTTCTTTATCACACTATCCTCAGGCCTGGAACAGTTCTGAATATGCAGTAGCTGCTCAAGAAAGAGCTGCAAATGAAAACCTAGGTGATCTAGACGTTAAAGTCCCAGCAAGAATTACCTCCCACACCCTGCTTTAAACCGGGTGTGTGGGCTCCTGTGGGGCCTAGCTGGACCAGGAAAGAAGAACCTGTCCTTGACTCCAGGGCTACAGCTATGAGGAGGGGACACCAGGGCCTTGGCAAATGCAGCTACCCCAGAATGGATGGAGGAAAGCCCTTACCCATGTACAGATGGTCCTCGTTGGGGTCATCCAGGACCTGATGGCACAGCCGCCCAATGTCAGGAGCAAGGAGAAAAAGAACAGATATGAGCAAGAGGAAGTAGAAGTGTGTGATGGTGTGTGTCCACAGGAGGGTGCACTTCCCATCCTTCTTCCTAGTCAAGGGGGAAGACAGAAATTCCCAGAGTATGATACCCAAGTCCCCCTGTCCTCAAGCTCAGGCCAGTCCTCATAGTCTGGAACATCCTGAAGAACAGCAAGGAGAAGTAAATCCTCCCCAGAAATGTCCCACACCTGGATGGCAGTCCAGTTCATCTCCTAGGAAACATGTCCTGGCTTCGGGGGAAAAGTTAAACCCTAACTGAACTCAAGCAGCCCCTCCACAAAGTGAACTCACACCTCCCCACCTTAGCAGGACACGTCTCTGCTTCTGTCTCTGTCTGATGGGCAGGTCCCAAGCTTATCCACCTTGATTGTCTTGGTGATGTCTCATATGTGCTGGGCACAAAGTAGGTACCCAAGAAACACCTGATAGATAAACAAACAGAATGGCTACATAGTCTTGCTGAACTGGGTGGAAAGCTGGATGCACGGTGTAGGGAAAAAAAAAGATCCCATTAGGACTCAGGGGTACCTGCAAACCATGCACCCCGGGGCTCTGCTAAGATGGCCAACTCCAGCACTGGAGAAGTGAGATCAGGATCACAGCGTGGCATCAGGAAAGAGGGCAACAGCTGGTGGCTACTCTCTCTCTTTTGGAGAGAGGCATGAGCAAGACCCCTGTCTAGAGTAGGACTCCTATCTCTTCACATCACCCACCTTCCCCAGCCACCCAAGACACAAGACTGCAGGCACAGCCGAGCAATCCATCTCAAGGAAGTTAGACTGAGGGTCCACCTAGAGTTCTGTAGCCATGAACTCCAGGCAAGGATTGGCAATAGTATCCCTCATATCCCGAAGGCAAGGCTATGTTCCCCAAATACTGAGGCTCTGATGGTCCTTTCCTTGTAACGTCCTTTTCTGTTGTCTTTGCTGAGCAGGAAATAGCTAGGGCCACTTCAAAGACCACTGTCTCCACAAAGTCTTTCATGCCCCATTCAGACAGCCAACACTGACCTTTACCAGGTCAGTGAGAAGGAACTCAGATCTGGATCTCCTGGGAATCCCCCAATCACCTCCAGGGGGCTATCAGAAGAAAATTATTCTTACTAAGACAACACTGGCCTTTCCCGCTCTTTCTCTACCTGCATTCAGTACAAAATAGTATCACAGTGGATGAAGGCCAAAGCAGACAGAGAATCCAGATACCTTTAGTAAGCCAAACATTAACGAAAAAGAAAAACAATAACAACAGCAGCAGCAACCAGCAGCAAGAGTATAAAATCCATCCTTTTACATTTGTTTTGTTTTGATTGTTTGCTTCAGAGAACAGACAACTCATTCAGTAAAGCCACTGCTTTACAAGCACAAGGACTTCAGTCCAGTGCCAGAGCCTATGTAAGAAAGTCCCAGGGCAAAGAGATGGCTCTTTAGGGGTTAAGAGCACCTACTGCTCTTGCAGAAGAAAGAGTTCTGCTCCCAGCACTATATCATACAGCTCACAACCACCTCTAATCCCAGTTCCAGGGAACGTGACACCTCTGGCATCAGCAAGTACACGCACATACCCTATCACATACACAGAATTAATTAAAAATAAAACAGTAAATCTTTTTTTAAAAGTGAAGCCCAGTGGCACATGTTTATAATTCCAGTGCTGAAGAGACAGAAAGAAGCAGATATCTGGGGCTTGCTGGCCCAACAGCCTAGCCTAGTAGGTGAACTCTAGGCCAGAGAGAGACCCTGCCTCACATAAACAAGGGGGATAGCACTTCCTGAGGATAGACATCCAAGACTGACTTCTGTTCTCCACAAGCATGTACACACATGTACCCTCACCTACATTATACACGCATGCAAACATACAAACAAGTTGTTACTATTCATAAAAAAAATACATTACTCTTGTTGGGCAGTGGTGGCACACACCTGTGGGGTAGAGGCAGAGGGATTTCTGAGTTTGAGGCCAGCCTGGTCTACAGAATGAGTTCTAGGACAGCCAGGACTACACAAAGAAACCATACTTGAAACACAAAAATAAACAAATAAAAAATTACTATTTATCACATATAATAAGATTATTGTTTTTCCATGAATAAAATTTTGTCAATTTACATTTTTGTTTTGGGGTTTTGTTTGTTTTGAGACACGATTGACTGTAACCCGGGCTGACCTTGAATGTTGGATTTTCTTGCCTCCACTTCAAGCATTGTGAATCCAGGTGTGCACCACCATGTCCAGCTCTGGTTTATATTTTAATGGGATGCATATGGATGAATGTGAACAACGTGAACAGCAGCACTCTGAGGTCTGCTGAAGGCAAATGCAGTATGTCCCTCACAGGCTCAATGCAACGAAACCAGCAAACGTGAACAGAAAACAGCCTTCAGCCAAAATCAACCTTTCCTCCTATGAAGTTGTTTTCTCTAGGTATCCATTACAATGACTGTAGCTAACACAAAGTTTCCTCGGATTTAAAGTGTATCAAGCCATCCTGAGCAAAAAAATACAAAACAAAACCAAAAACAAAACCATGAGACCTACTAGGCTGAAGCAAAGGCTGTCTAACACAGTGCGAGTCCAGCTCCTCCAGTGTTTATAGATAACGTTTTCCTGGAGCACAATCATGATTTCTTACCATTTTGTTTGTTTTTGAGACAGAGTCTTGCTATGTAGCCCTGGCTAGCCTGGAATTCATTGTATCTACTAGATCCGCCTCGAACTCACAGAGATCTGACTCCTCTGCCTTCTTGAGTGCTGGGATTAAAAGTGTGCACCACTACACTCAAAACTATTGTTTTGCTTTAAATTATTGTTGTTGTTGCTGTTGCTGTCGTGTGTATGGAAGTCAGAGGACTACTTTGTGGAGTTAGCTCTTCATGTGGGTTCTGGGGATCCAACTCAGGTCATGAGACTTTCCATCGAGGGCCTAGGCCAACTGAGCCATCTCACGGGGGACTTCACCTGTTTGTATGCACAACTACTTCCGTATTCCAACTACCTGTGTGTAGAAGAAAAACTGACAACCTCAAAGACAAAGAAGCAGGTAAAGGGCAAGCCTTGGAACTCTCAGTCTCAACTTCTGCATCTGTAAAATGGCAGTGATAGGTAGTCTTGGGAAGTGACAGTGACATGAAGCAATAGTGTGAGGGTATGTGAGGCCACAAGGTCCTCACTCAGCCTTGAGATCTTAGCAAACAGGAATTTAGATATTAACAAAGCCGGGGCTAGACCATCAGCCTCCCTCCTCACCTCCACCAGCTTCACTACGTTGGGGTGGTCCAGCTTCTTGAGGATGGCGATCTCCTGGTACACCTGCTCGATGGGGCCCCTGGGCTGGATGCAGCCCCCTGGAGCTGGGCGAGTCCCTCGGGGTGGGGGGCGACCTGCAGGAAGCACAGGGTTAGGGTACAGGCCTTCTGCGGAGGGGAGCTGCTAATGGGACAAAGGGTAAAGGACTTCTGGGAGTTGGGAGCAGCCTTTTCTTCATGGCTCCCCCACTACTGGAAATCAGGGAGGCGGGAGGCACCCTCCTCCTATTCACTGCCGATCCTTTTCCCCGTCACATGCTCAAACCACAGTGAGTAAGGCTCACCGAGGACACTGGTCTGGTTCAGCTATCTCAACGCTCTCAACATCGGGGAAAGTGGTTAGGGGTAGCTCGGCGAGTAGAGCACTTGCCTAGCACACACCAAGTCCTCGGATGGATCCCCAGTGCTGCATAAAACAGGATGTGGTGGGGTACCCTGAAACCTTAGCCCTTGGGAGGCAGAGGCAGGAAGCCCAGAAGTTCAAGGTAACCCTTGACTACACAGAAAGGAAAGGCCAGTCTCGGTTACAAGAGATACTGTCTCAAACAAAACAAACAAACAAAAAAAACCCTTCATGTAAATCAATCACTTCTCTATGGGGCTCAGTGCCCACTGGATAAAACAGACATAAACATTATTCCTCTCCTCAATGCAGGAAATGGTACAGTTGTACCAGAAAGCCAGGAGAAGAAACAAAAAACTGAGTCAATGAGAGAAAAATGAGACAGCTCTGCCAGGATGGAGCGTTTCTCAGTCAAAAGCTGTTGACCGTGAAGCCCAACTGTCGAAGCCGCTGTCTCACACATCCTGTGTGAGGAAGCCTGGGAGGATGATGAGCAGAACAAATGCAGCTGTGAGCACGCCTGCGCAAGGGAGCACGGGCTCAGCTGCGGGAAGGGTGTGCAAGGCAGGCCAAGGGAAGCCTCCGCCTGGAAAGTGGCCACAGGAGGCAGGAATAGTGGGGCATCTGCCAGCCATCACCCAGGAGGCTAAGCAGGAGGATCCACAGCTTGAGACCAACCCCTGCACAGTAAGACCTTGTCTCAAACCAAAAGCAAGGGCCAGACGCAGTGGCAGCTGGGATTACAGGTGACTGCCAGCACCCACCTGAGCCCGACTTTTCTGTGGGTTCTGGGTCCAAACTCCATCTTAACACTTACATGGCAAGCACCTTATCCACTGAGCCATCTCCCCAAATCCCGTATTATTTTATTTGAGAGGCAAGTCTTGCTCTCCTGAAGCTTGCAATGTAGAAGAGGTTAGTCCTGAATTCACAGACCCACCTACTTCTGCCTGCCAAGTGCTGGGCTTAAAGAAGTGCACTACCATGTCAGGTCCAATATTTAACTGTTAAAAACATTCACGGGGGAGGGGGAGGGAAATGGGAAGCGGTTGTGGGGACGAGGCAGAAATCCTTAATAAATAAATAAATTAAAAAAAAAACATTCAATATTTTAAATGTGTGGAGTTTTGTTTGGTTGGTTAGTTGGTCTTTTTGAGAAAGGGTTTCTCTGTGTAGCCCTGGCTGTCCTAGAACTTGCTCTGTAGACCAGGCTGGCCTAAAACTCAGAGATCCTCTGCCTCCTGAGTGCTGGGATCAAGGATGCATGTGACCACCCACCACTCAGTCAGTTAGTTTCTTTCTTTTCTTTCTTTCTTTCTTTCTTTCTTTAGTTATTCTTCTTTTTCATGTGTGTGCTTTTACAAAACATGGTCCCACAGAGCTGTGGCTGGCCTTGTGTTCTGACCTTCCACTTCCTGAGTGCTGGTGTTACCAGCATGTGCACCATGCATGCTGACCCTCCTCCCTCCACTTCCTGAGGGCTGGTGTTACCAGCATGTGCACCATGCATGCTGACCCTCCTCCCTCCACTTCCTGAGTGCTGGTGTTACCAGCATGTGCACCATGCATGCTGACCCTCCTCCCTCCACTTCCTGAGTGCTGGTGTTACCGGCATGTTTACCATGCACTCTGATTATCACCACTAGGTAACTGCAGAACATTTTCATGGCTCTTCCCAAAAATCTAATTCTTTCTTCTGCTGATCTACTTTTTTTCCTCGTGGATTTGCCTATTCTTGGTATTTTATATAAACAGAATTATGTAGTAAGTGACTTTTGTCTGGTCTTTTTCACTTAAAATGCTTTCAATCAAGTAATATCAAAAATTAGGACCCTATGGTGACTGAATACTAATTTACCAGATGCATGTACATTTTACTTACTCATTGGTTGGGGGCCCCTAGGGATGTTTCCACTCAATGGATAACATGAACAGTGCTGCTAGTCACATGCATGTATGAGCCTTGTCTCTTGCTTCTTTTTCTTTCTCCTGGATACTAGAGAAGCTGCTGGATCCTGAGGTGTGATGACTACTGTTGTTAACTAGAAAGTCTAGAATCACCTGAGACGCCTCTTGATCGCATTAACTGAGACGGGACCCACTGTGGGTGGTACCAGTCCCTGGCTGGAATCCTGCACTATGTCAGCAGAGAAAAGGCACTGAATACTGGTGTTCATTTGTCTCTGCTTCCTGATTATGGATACAATGTAGCCAGTTGCCTAAGGCATCTGCCTCTCTGACACCCCTAAATACCAGTCACAGTGAAGTATTTCAGCCTAAAGGTGGTTTTGTCAACCTTTTGTCAGAACACCAGGCAAAGAAACTAAGACATATGGTCAGCTTTTTATTTGTTATTTTGTTCATATCCATCTTCAGCTATTTATTTATTATTTATTTTGGCATGAATATGCCACAGAATGAATGTAGAGGACAGAGAGCAACTTGCAGGAGTCACTTCTCTCCTACCCTATGGGCCCTGGGGATCAAACTCAGATCACTGGGTTTGGTGGCAAGAGCGTTTACAGTTGAGCCATCTCTCCAGTCCTCAAATTCAGCTTTAAAACTCTTAAATAAAAATGAATCAGGACCCATAGTAAGAAGTTCAGTACTACTCTCAGGGGAAGCTCTGTGCCGGAGGTGGTCTTCCCCGAGTGGCTCTGCTGGACATTACATCCACTGGCTCTGTCTGATTTCACCTCAGTACCCACACCTGAGAACAAAGCCCACCACACTCACGTGGAAAGCCGGCCTGCCGGATCAGCTTCTTTTTGGACAGCACTTTCATCGCCTGCAGAAGGAAAGACCCCCAAGTGCAATTAAAGACAGCAGGAAGACTAGGCTCTCTCCTCTCCAAGCCTCTCACTGAGCTCCCAGGCCTTGGTGCCTCGGGACAAGGCAGTGAGAACACAGTCACAGCGGAGGAGGCTAGCTAGTACTGGAGCCGAGACAGTAACGACCCTGGAGGTTCCTGGTCAGCAGACCCAGCTGGGAACGGAGTCAGACAAGTGAGCCAGAGTGATCGATGGGCCAAGAAGGGCTCTGATGGCTGCTTGCCCAAAGTCATGTTGTTAATGTGTGTTGGAACCAGGGTTTGAACCTACACTGGACTAGCTCCAAAGCCTCAACTACAGGGCACGGTGTACATCTACTGTTATGGAAGGGGCAGACAGGGCAGCGCAAAGCAAGCGTATGAAAGACACTTGGTGGGTCAATCCCTTCCCTGCCCCATTTCCCCATCTGTAAAATGGGGGCATGGCTTTCTTCTAAACGGTCTAAGAGGCGAATGGGAGAACAAGTACCCAAACTGCTGGAAGCAGAGTGCTAGGAAAGAGAATTTCCTTTGGATGGGAATGGGGGTGGGAATGGGGGTACTCACATAGTACGTACTGTCATTTTCATTGTAAGCCAGCTTGACCACACCATAAGAGCCCTGGATAAAGAGAGATGCCCGTGACATAGTAGCCAGAGTGGTGCTCTGTGAGATGAGGGCTCTGACAGGCTAGACTGCAGCTCACTGGGCAAATGTACCCCGAGATTGCATTCTGTGGGACTTACCATTTTTGCAGTCTAAATTCGCTGCTAACATTTAAATGGAAAAAAACTAACATAAAAACCCAGGTTTGAATAACCTGTCCAAACACAGAACTTACATCCATACAAAAAGAATTTACCACGCCACCCCGCTTTCATGCCTACCTGCTTCCCTCACGGAGCCATGCTCCCTATGGTCTTACAGTTAGCATACGTTGGCCAGTGAGGTCACTAACTTATCTTCTGTTAGCATTTGACTTTTTAGCCCCTACAATGATACTAACAAAAACAAATAAAAGGGGCTGAAGAGATGGCTCAGCAATTAAGAGCATTTGCTGCTCTTCCAGGAGACGCAGGTCAATTCCCAGCACCCACACGGCAGCTCACATCTCTCCGTAACTCTAGTTCTAGGGGACCCAACACCCATGGCAAAACACCAACACACATTAAAGAACAAAACAAAACAAAAAACAGATGTCAAGGTCTCTTGATGGGGAGCACCATGACAATTTAGGATTTCTCTGCAAGTTTTCTGAATTTTTGCAGAAACACATCTAATTTTAACATCATATTTAAAATAAGCAAATAAATGAGGTTGGGTGTGGTGATGCACACTTTTAATCCCAGTTGCTGGGAGGCAAAGGCAGGTGGCTCTCTGTGAGTCTGAGGCCATCTTGATCTACATAATAAGTCTTAGACTAGCCGGGACTCCACAGTGAGACCATGTCTCAAAAAGGCATTTTTTTTTTAACTAAGGCTGGTGAGATGGCTCACTAGGTAAAACATGAATTCAAATCCCTAGCACTGACATAAAAAGCCAGGTGTGGTAGTACACACCTATAATCCCAGTGTTGGGTGGGGGTGGGCAACAACAGAAGGATACCTGGGGCTTGATGGCCAGCTAGTCTTGCAGTCTATGAGCTTCAGGTTCAGTGAGAGATCATGTCTCAAAGAATAAGGTGAAGAGGTACTGAGGAAAGACAGCTGACATCAACCTTTAGCCTACATACATACATACATACTATACACACACACACACACACACACACACACACACAATTTTTATTACCCTTTCACCCCACCAGTCTTGCTTCCAAGTTTCCCTCTCCTCTTCCCACCAGCACTACTGGTTCCCTCTGGAGTGTCAGGGACATCCCTGGTCAAGTTACAAAGGTGGCCCAGCTCCTAGGACATTTACCTTTCCAATTTCATCCTTCAGTGTATACTGATTCAGCTGCACGCAGTCCTGGAAAGCAAGGAAGGGCACAAATGAGATGATTCTCAAAGGAGCCAAAGACAAGTATGTCACAAATAAATGCATATATGCAATCAGGATCAAGTTCATAGAGAGTTGCAGGAGTTGGGAGGCTGAGGCAGAGAATCCAGACTTCAAGGCCAGCATTGGCTACTTAGCAAGTCTGAAGGTAACCTAAGCTATGACTACAAAAATCAAGAAACAACCCTGCTCTCCCACCCAAAACAAAGAGTTAGTGGAATGGGGAGATGTTTGGGTGGTGAAGGGCTTGCCAGAAGAGCATGAAGACCTGAATTTGATCTAAGAAGCTACATAAAGCAGGCAGGTATGGTGCTGCACACCTGAAGACCCAGCAGTGGGAAGGAGGAGACAGGAGGATACCTGGGGCTCACTGGCCAGCCAATCTAACCAACAAACTCTAGGTCCCAATGGGAGACTGTTCTATAAAAACAAGATGGCCCTTATCTATAACTTCAGAGGAGGTTAATATCTGGTCTTCACATGCATTCACACACATGTAGACCTGTGCATACATGACCACACATATACAAATCAACATACAAAGAGTATATATATTATCAAACTCAGCACATTGTACATGCTAGACAAAGACTTTACCACTAAGTTGCAGCCTCGGCTACATAGCTAAGGTCCTGTGTCGGAAAGAAAAGGAAAGGGGTGGGAGAAGGGAGGAGAGGGAGGAGAGGGACAAGGAAGGAGATCCAAAAATTACATATTAAAGACTGAGCAGGTTGTATTTATGTATTTAGGAATATGTGTAGATGTAAGAACAACTGAAGAAAAAGAGGCCATGAATGAGAGCGGGATCAGGGTTGGGGTACAAGGGAGAGGTTAAAGAGAAGAAAGGGAAGGGGGAAGTGATATAATTTTAAAACATAGAGGATTATTATTAAAAATTGAGCAAAAGGCCAGGTGGTGGTGGCACACACTTTTAATCCTAGAACTCGGGAGGCAGAGGCAGGAGGATCTCTATGGATTCGAGACCAGCCTGGTCTACAAGAGCGAGTTCCAGGACAGCTAGGGCTGTGACACAGAGAATTCCTGTCTTGAAAAAAAAAATTGAACAAAAGATCCGAACAACAGTTTTTCTAAAGATAGATAAATGGTTAATAAACATGAAGAGTCACTGGGGAAATGTATATGAAAGCCGTATCAGGCCAGCTAATAAGGACAGGTGCTGAACTTCCCACATGGCTGCCAAACCAAAAGGGGGCCGGCCAGCAGGCAGCATCTCGTATACTCCAGGCTGGTCTCAAACCTGATATTTAGATGAAGAGTGGATGGCTTAGAGCCACAGTGTGATGGCGCACACCTTTAATCCCAGCACTCCGGAGACAGAGGCAGGCAGTCTCCGAGTAGAGACGCTTCTCTCTACAGTGAGGAACAGCTAACGCAGACCAGACGTATAACTGGTCCAAGTGCTGAGAGTGAGTGACCGCTGAGAGTGGGCGCTAAGCCCTGAACGGGAAACCTGCACCGCCTCTCTCCACCAAGGCTCTGAATGTACCTCAGGAGGGGACAGAAGACAATGTAACAGCTGGAGAACAGGGAGGACTGCTGGGAAATACTGTCGTCAGGATATGACACGGCCACTGTTCACGACCTGACTGTAGCCATGGTTACCACACAAGATCAATCCAACAAGATCAGTCAATATTCTAGAAGACAGCACTAACTGGACTTAATGGGTTACCAAAAAAGAAAAAAGGAGAGAGAGAGAGAGAGAGAGAGAACATGAAGGGGACAGGGAAATGTTGAGAGTGTACGGAAAGAGAGGTAGGGGATAGATGTTGGGTGGATATTGACACACAATTAACAAACGCTCAGAAACTGATATTGGGGTTCAACCTGAAGACCCGAAAAGCAAAGCAGCCAGTCACTGGCTCTTATCTCGACCAGTCTGAAAATGGCGATCCTGCCTCCAGGAATCTCAAAATGAGACAGCTTGAGAGCTATCTCCTCCCATTTTATAATCCTCTCTAGGGCTCAGATTAAAAGTGTGCACCAGTGATATTAAAGGCATGCACCACCCAGTTTCTATGGCAACTAGTGTGGTTACTGGGATTAAAGATGTGTGTCACACTGCCCGATCTGTAAGGCTGACCAGGAGGGCTGTTTTACTTTTCTGATCCTCAGACAAGCTTTATTTATTCAAATACAAATGAAATGCCACGACAGGATATGATTAAGATATAATGTTGAACCAGTCGGGGGTAGCACACGCCTTTAATCCCAGCATTCCTTGGGAGGCAGAGGCTGGTGGATCTCTGTGAGTTTGAGGCCAGCCTGGTCTATAGAGCCAAGTGTCAGAATAGGCGCCAAAGTTACACAGAGAAACCCTGTCTCGAAAAAACAAAACAAGAAGATACAACGTTGAAATGTATGAAATTGTCAAAGAATAAACAAAAGACATTCTGTTAGAAAAACCTGGTACAGGGCTAGAGAGGTGGTTCAGTGGTTAAGAACACTGACTGCTCTTCCAGAGAACTTGGGCTCAATTTCTAGCACCCACAAGCTCACAGCTGTCTGAAACTCCAGTTCCAGGGGATCCAACACCCTCACACAGATACACATGCAAAAACCAATGCACATAAAAGTAAATTTAAAAAGGAGAGCAAGAGAGGGAGGGGGGGGGAGCCTGATCAATACTTGGCTGGAATGCACAGAAATGCCCGGAAATGTCCTTAAAGAGCGCTCCTGCCTTCATCTGCCTACATTACCAAGAGGAGCTAGAGGTGGAACACTGGGCTTGGCACAGGTGAGCAACAGCCTACCAGTTGTTTTCTTCTTTTTTTTAAAAAAAAAAAAGATTTATTTATGTATTATTTATTCATAAAGTGTTCTATCTGCATATATGTCTGCAGGTCAAAAGAGGGCACCAGATCTTACTATAGATGGTTGTAAGCCACCATGTGGTTACTGGGAATTGAACTCAGGACCTCTGGAAAGCAGCCAAATATCTGTTTTTTTTGGGGGGGGGGGTTCGAGACAGGGTTTCTCTGTAGCTTTGGAGTCTGTCCTGGAACTAGCTCTTGCAGACCAGGCTGACTTCAAACTCACAGAGATCCACATGCCTCTGCCTCCCCAGTGCTGGGATTAAAGGCGTGCGCCACCACTGCCCGGCCCTAGCCAGTGCTCTTAACTGCTGAGCCATCTCTCCAGACCCCAGTTGTTTCTTAACACAGACCTTTCACAGGACCCAGCATTCTGCTTCTAGGATTACCCAAGAGAAACGAAAATGATTCAGTATAAAAAGAACCAACAACAGCAAGGCATGGTGGCATCATGCCCTCAGGAGGCAGAGGCAGGTGAGTGTGAGGCCAGTCAGGATACAATGAGATCATGTTCCAAAAAAAATTAAATAAATAAATAAATAAATAATTTGCTAGTACAGACGTCCCTCCGTGTCTGTAGGGATAGGTTGCAGAACTCTGAAAATACCAGGCACGCGAGAGCTCAAGTCCCTTAAAGAAGATGGCACAGCACTGTTTCAGTACAGAATATAATCTTTATACAGCCTTTCTCATTTACATTTTGGCACTAGGAAGTTGAGACAACCTGTTTGGTCTGAAGCTCACTATACAGCTTAAGCTGGTCTTGATCTTGTGATGATCCTCCTGTCTCTGCCTCCGGAGTTCCGGGATGACAGGTGCAGTCCTTCACACCCAGCCCTCTTCCCTCACATCTTAATTCTTCAGTGTGTGTCTGTGTGTGTCTGTGTGTGTGTGTGTGTCAGTGTAAGATGTCCTCACAGGTCAGAAAAGGGCACAGATTCTCTGGAGTTGGAGTTAAAGGTGTTTGTGAGCCTCCATGTGGGTGCTGGGAATAGAACTCAGGGCTTCTGTAAAAGCAGCCATCCCTCTCCTGCTGCTCCCAAACACATACTTTAAATCATTTCCAAGTTCCTTATATACTTAATACAATGTCAGTGTTATGTAAGTCATTCTACTCTAGGGCTCGGAGGCAGTAACTATTTAAATTATCATTTAATGACAAGAAAAAAATAGCCTGCACAGGCTCATACAGTTGCAAATCTTTTTCTTCGGAATATTTTCAAGGTTGGCTGGATCTGTAGCTATCGGGGCCAAGAGCGTATCCAATGGCACAGATGAATCTCAGAATCATTATGCTGGAGAAGACACTGAGCTAAAAGGGAGCGTGCAGGCAGTGGACCTGTTTACATAAAATCCTACAACGTGCAAACTCATCTGAAACGTTGGAAAAGGCAGTTCAGAATGCCGGCGGCAGCTGTGCACACCTGTCATTCTGCATTCAAGAGGTTGAGGAGGGACATGCTTAGCCAGCCTGGGCTACATAGTGCAATCCTGTCTCAAAGAAACCAAACAAACACGGTTCAGCAGCAGATGGAGGGGTGGCTACCCAGCTATGGGAGACACTCTCAGGCAACCAGGAGTAGTCAAAGAGAAGAGTTAATGTTTGTGCAGCTGAAAGGCGAAGGGATTGATTTAAGACTTCATGCCAGTACCTTAAGCTTCACTGCCCTTCACCTCACCCTCCCAGCCCCACCCAGCCCATCACAGCTCACGAACCTGCAAACCTGTGATGGAGACGTGGTGTGACTCCACCGTGGGCCGCCGGGGCATCCGCGGGGAGGTCTGTGGGGAACTGGATGGCGAGTAGGACAGGGATGGGCAGATGCAGCGTCCATTCATGTCCAGGCTGCTGCCGGATGCAGGCCCAGCCTGGGATGGCTCCTGCAGGGACATCTTACGACCAGAAAGTAGGGGCCGTGCCTCGGATTCTGAGGCATCAAGGGGCAGTTCCTGGTCATCAGCCTCTAGAGGCTGGTCCCGGGCCAGGCTGAGGTCCACACCCTGGCCTGGCTCACACTCTGTGACCACAATGAAGGATTCCATGCCCAAGTGGATGCTCAAGGATGAGAGTCCCCGCAGGGCCTCGCAGGGCTTCTGGCTTTCCCGGCTGCCACCCCCACTTCCCAGCTCATTCTGGGGGGCCGCCCGGTCGCTGGTGGGCTGGCTAGAGACACATGATGACATGGTGTGTGTACCAACTTCATCCGCTAGACCGGAGCACTTCCATCAGCAGCACAGCTGCCTGCAGAAAGAGAAAAGGGGTCAGCTAGGCAGGGAGAGGAAAACAGGTTGCTCTTCTGGACCAGGCTAACATCTGATTTGTGCACATGTCCAGCATCCTTAACACCCACAGCCCAGCACGGTGGTGTAAGACTGGGAAAGTTGAGGCAAGAGTATCACCAGGAATTAAAGACCAGCCTAGGCTATAGAGCAAGACTCTGTCTCAAAACAAGCAAATGTGCAGCCAGTTGTGGTAGTCCACACCTATAATCCCAGCACTCAGAAGGTGGGAACAGGAGTTCAAGACCTGCCTAGACTACACAACAAGAGCTATATTTGAAAAGAGAAAATATTGCAAAACAGGATGTAATGTGATCTCCCAGTCTACACAATAATAATAATAATAAATGCATCCTTTGAAGGCTGGAAAGAATGTTCTGTGGTAAACAACACTTGCTACTCTTCCAGAGGACTTGTGTTTGATTCCCAGTACTGCACTCGTATGGTGCCTTACAGCCATCAGTAACTCCAATTCCATGGGGAATTGATACCCGCTTCTGGTCTCCAAGAACATCAGGCACACACATGGTGCACAGACATATGTAGGTAAAAATATTCACGCACATAAGATAATTTTTTAAGTTAAAAAAAGCAATGTTTTCTTTGTATTCCTTCTCACGTAACGTGACAAGGAATCCAAACTCAATTCCTATAAAAGCAAGTATAAGGAACCCCAAGAGATCCCACACAGGCCCTTAAGGATTGGCAGCTACTTGCTGTGCTGCTCAGCAGGGATCTGAATCTACCAAGGTCTAGTTCCCCAGTCCTAACTTTTCCTTCCCTCAATCAAGAATCTATAGGGGCTGAACAGCAGAAAACGAAACACACACACAAACAAACAAAGACCCTCTCCACCACAGATTTTTGTTGGTGGTAGTAGTGGTTTTTAATTTTTTTTAAATAATAGCAATTGTGAATATTATTATTGGTTTTGGGGGTTCTTTTTGTTTTATTTTGTTTTGAGACAGGGTCTCTCTGTGTAGCCCTGGTTGACCTGGAACTTGCTCTGTAGACCAGTCTGGCCTCAAACTCAGAGATTTGCCTGCCTCTGCCTCCCAAGTGCTGGGATTAAAGGTGTGCACCACGCCACTAACCAGCTTTAAAATTATTTTATCTTATGTGTATGCCTGTTTTGCGTGTGTGTGTGTGTGTGTGTGTGTGTGCCCAAGAGTCCAAAAGAGGACACTTAAGTCACAGAACTGGAATTATGGGTGGCTGTGAGGTGCCATGTGAGTGCTGGAAACTGAACCCAGGTCTTCTTACCCAATAAACCATCTCTCCAGCCCTCCAACCTTGTTTTTGGAAACAGGGTTTCTCAGTAGAAACTGGAGTCTCCAAGCAGGTCAGGCTGGCTGGTGAGCACTGGGGTCAAACTCAGATGGCTGGCTGAGAAATCTCTGATGCGCCCGGTTGACTTTTTTTAACTAGTAAAATTATCAGATGCTGAAGAGACGGCTCAGCAGTTAAGAGACCTACTGGTCTTGCAAAGGACCCGAGTTTGATTTTCCAGAACCCATGTTGGGTACCTCAAAATTACCTCTAACTCCAGTTCCAAGGGACTTGATGCCTTTGGGTGCCATAGGTACCTCCAACACATACACACACAGTTGTTTTTTTTTAAGAGTTAGTAATTACTGAAATAGCTTTTAGATGCTAGGTAGGCAAAATGAAACCCTTCTGCCTGTATCTTCCACGCTGCACTGTGCCATGACTGAGGCAGGCAGCATCCTGGATGTGCTGTCACACCTCTGTGTTGTAAGGGGGCGGAGCTCCAGGTCAGCCCGGGCTATAGACAGAGCCAATAGGCTGAGGAGATGGCTCAGGGGTAAGAGTGACTGCCCTACAAGCACGAGGACCTAAGTTCAAAGCCCCAGCACCACCTAAGAAACCAAGATAACTGCCTGCAGGTGGTTTCTCAAGAGTTAGCGACTTTCCATGTGGTCCATTCCTAAGAGCACACCCAACCAGTACCAGTCGCTGCAGCTGAGAGGGAAGCAGCAAATGAGCAGATGAGCAAAGTGTGGTTCACACAAACAGTGGAAAACTACAAAGCCATAAAAGGGCCAGAAGCACTGGCAATGGTTACAACACAGATGAAAGATGAAAACAGCATGCCAAGTGCAGGGCCAGTCCCAAGAGCCCGTATGTATTGCATAATTCCATGGAAATGAAATTTCCATACTAGGCAAATCCACAGAGGCCATGGAGCACTCTAGCGCCAACGCAGGGACTGCTTAATGGGTGCAGGGCTTCATCTTGGTGAAGATGTCGTCGAACTAACAGAAGTAATTTCACAACCCCGTGCTTATACTAAATGCAATGAACTATTGATTTTAAGAGGGTTAATCTGCCCGGCATGGTAGCGCATGCCTTTATTTCCAGTACCCCAGAGACAGAGGCAGGAGGATCTCTGTGAGTTCCAGGCCATTCTGGTCTTTATAATGAGCTCCAAGCAAGCCAGAGTGAGAACTGTCTCAAATTTAAAAGAAAAAAAAAGGTTAATTAGAGGCTGGGTGCAGCATGAAGCTTGACAGCAAACCTCCTAACTAGGGTTGGAGAAGCCTTGGGTTCTACCCCCAGCACTGTGCCTCCCCCCAAAAAATCATTTTTATGTCACATGAACTTTTATATCAATGAGAGAGAGAGAGAACAGACTGACTCGTACCTTCGCCATGGCTGGGACAGAGCTTTGGCTTTGGCTCACGTGTCTTGACAAATGTCCCAGGCACAGCTGGAGCTAAGTCAGTGCATCCACAAAGGTGATGGCAGCTGTGTGCTAATCAAGAAGGCTCTCTCGAGGTGCTGGGAGAACAGTGGGTACTGGCAGAGATTTGAGGGCCACTCTGGTAGAAGAGAATCTTGAGAGGAAGGTGTAAAAGTGTCAGACAGTCAGGACTCCCTAAAGGACCCAGCAGAGACACAATACTGTTGCTGGGCCCTCTGGGAACTATCCATTCAGAATTACTTGCAAAACATCTACTGTGTCAGGCAAGGTGGCTGGGAATCCTCCAATCAGAAAAGCCTTGGCAGCCAGGCAGTGGTGGCACATGCCTTTAATCCCAGCACTCGGGAGGCAGAGACAGGCGGATCTCCTATAAGTTCGAGGCCAGCCTGGTCTACAAGAGCTAGTTCCAGGACAGGAACCAAAAGCTACGGAGAAACCCTGTCTTGAAAAAAAAAAAAAGAAAAGCCTTGGCATTCCCATTTGTGTTCATGTGTTCTCATGATTTAGGAGAAAAAAAAAGTGGTGGTTTCTTTTTATTTTTACTTATTTATTTATTAGTTTCTTTTTGTTGTTTGTTTGTTTATTTTTAAGACAAGGTTCCTCTGTGTAGCCCTGGCTGTCCTAGAACTTGATTTGTAGACCAGACTGACCTCAAAATTCAGAGATCCACCTGCTTCTGCCTCCCAAGCGCTGTGACTAAAGGCGTGCGCCACCACTGCCCAGCTGTTTACTTAAGAGAGAGAAAAGAACATAAAAGTGGGTGGGTATGGAGGACATGTGAGGAACTGAAGGAGGAAAAAATGATAAAAATATACTGTATGATTTTCATTTTTAATAAAGAAAGAAAAACAAGGGGCTGGGGAGATGGTTCCATGGGTAAGAGTACTACTTGCTGCACAGCATGAGGGCCTGAATTCCAATCCTGGCGTGAACATTAAAAGCTTGGTGTCACCTAAGTGCACTATGAGGGCAGAGGCAGGAGGCTGGCTGAGGCCCGCTGACTGCCAACCGAGCTCCAGGGTCAGTCTTGTCCGAAGGGAATACGGTAGAGTGACAGAGCAGAACACCCAACGTCCTCTTCATGAACACACACACACCACACACCCAAAAGAACCACAACAAACTCAACCACCATGTGACAAGATACTCAGCCTAGGGCTGGAGAGATGGCTCAGCGGTTAAGAGCATTGCCTGCTCTTCCAAAGGTCCTGAGTTCAATTCCCAGCAACCACATGGTGGCTCACAACCATCCATAATGAGGCCTGCAGGAAGAATACTGTATACATAATAAACAAATAAATAAATATTAAAAAAAAAAAGATACTCAGCCTAGTGAACAGCAAGGGAAGTACACACTCAAATCTCAAGCAAACGCTGGCAGTTCCTCAGACAGTGAACCATGGAATTCTTGCGTGGTCAGTAATTCCTCTCAATAGTATGCACTCAAAAGCCAGAAAGGAGGGGTTCAGTCAGACCCTTGCATAACAAGAGTGAGAGCATCACCAGTCACAACTGCCGAAAGGCGGAAACAACCCTATGTCCATCCAAGGATGCGTGGACACAGAGAATGGGGTAAGGTCACGTAAGGGTCATGAGAAGGCAAGTCTGACTTACAAGGTGGTGGAGAAGGACCCTGAAGACATGCTAAGTGAAATGAGCCAACGCTAACTGGTGACCAGTGAGCAGCAGCCACAATGGTCAAATTCACACAGCAAGAAACAGAACAGGGCTGGGGTGGGGCTGAGTGGGTGGAGTGCCCAAACTGCAGGCACAGAGGCCTGGGCTCCACCCCCAGCACTGCAGAAACTGCAGGTGGTGGTGCTCACTGATTCTATCACTAAGCAAACAGGCAGGTGGGAGCAGAAATACAAGGTCAGCTTCAGCTACTCAGTGAGTCTGAAGCTAGCCCGGACTACGGACTACAGGAGAGCCTGCACGTTGAACAGGAAGGAAAGAAAGCACAGTGAGGGGAGAGGAGAACAAGGATCTCCCGATTAAAGGGAGGAGCCCAACACAGTGGACATACGTAATGCCACAGGGCTGTACATGGTGAGTATGGCTCATTTTCACTGGGTGATTAGGCGTATGTTTTATGATGTTATGTGTGTCTGTGTTACAGAAGTGCAGGTGTCCTAGGGACCAGAAAGGGCATGGCATCCCTGTAGCTGGAGTAACAGGCAGTTTGAGCCGCCAGACTTGGGAGGTGGGAACTGATCTCAAACCCCGGGCAAGAATACAGTGAGCTCTTAACTGCTGAGTCACCTCTCCGGCCCCAAAATGAATGTCCAGAAGAAAGTAAGCAGCCATGATAGGAACGGAGAAGCCACACTTCAGAGCACCAAGGATGACATCGTTAGCTCTGCCCCTGCCCTGGCCTCCCTGCCAAAGGATGTGTCTACCCAAGTGCCACATTCGCTGCAGTCTGGGATGCCCCTGCCCTGGCCTCCCTGCCAATGGATGTGTCTACCCAAGTTCCACACTCGCTGCAGTCTGGCTGCTGTTACTCTACATATTTTTTTGTGGTCCTCATCTTCTAAGCAGAGGAAGGCAGGACCCTGGACTCCATAGCTTGGGCCTATGCTTTTCCTAGCTTTCTTTAGCCCCTCTCTGCCTCAGTTTCCCCATCTTTAAGATGGTCATGAGGAGCAGATGAGCCATGTACTCAGAATACACGACTAATGTGCTGAAAAGCTATCCTTTCAACGCAATGCCTAAACACAGTGGGGCTGCATTCCAGAATGTTCCGGAGTGACTACTGCCCTGGGGAGCCCACCTTCTCTCGTGTGGATTCCGCCACTCTGGTCCAGCCACCCTCAGGACAGGAGGTCTGTCCTTCCTCCAAGAGCTCTGTTGGGTCTACAAGTGTTCCTGGAAAGAAAGCCAGACTTGGCAGTGCCTGCGGGAGTCAATGGGGATTTTTTTTTTCTTGCCAACAGAAAAACAATTGCTTATCGATCTCTACTCCAGGCCAAGGACACCAAGCCGTCCACCCCCAACAAAGCTGCTTTTAATCAAGTCTCTTTGGCCAGCCAGTGTCTGGCCTGGGCCTCCCTCGCCACCGCCTCTGACGCAGGCTTGGCCTTCAAGGTCTGAAGGAGGAGAACAGAAGACCCAGATCTAGGGAAGAGATGAACAAAGACCAGGAGGGCTGTGTAGAAGGATCCCGCCCCGTTCCCACAGACTAAGCCAGTGTTCTGAATTGTTGGGCCAGAGACCCTATGGGAATCTAATGAAGCCACCAAGATGCCTCTAGCAGAAAACTGCACATAAAGACAGTAGCTTAGCATAAAAGACTACTGAAGTCACACTAAGCCCAGCAGGCACCAGGCACAGAGTAACTCTGCTTGGTTGTGTAATTCCCATAGGACAAGCCCTCTGCAAGGAGGGGCAGTGATCGGAACACAGGATTGAAGAGGACCTTCCCACAAAGCTGCCCGGGTTTGGCAAAGCGCCAGCAGTCTGGCCCGGCAGTTCCCCATGAATCACAAGTACTGCCCCGCCCAGAAGGCCCCCCTCACTCCAGGGCACCCAGTGGAGCCACCAGACCCTTCCTGGAGCAGATGGAGCCAGTCCCCGGCCAGGATGAGAGAAATGTTCCTTCCTGTGCCAGAAAGCCAAGTGGCACAGGCCCACAGGAAATGCCTGGCCATTTCCATTTCCTGGGGGCCATTTCCAACCGGCAGCTGCCACCTGCCAAACGCTGAGCTGAGCCACCATGGGGTTGGGGCTGGAAGACAACTCAGTGGGTGAGCCTCAAAATCAGAGACACATCTTCCTCAGAGTCCCTCGGGGTTCTCAGACCCCTCTTCCCTACCACTCCAGGACCAAAAAAAAAAAAAAAAAAAAAAAAAAAAAAAAAAAAAAAAAGGATCAAGAGCCTACCAGGATTAAGAGACTAAGAACTATGTCAGTCCGGGAGTCAGGAAAGGACCTACACAGCCACATCCTCTCTCACCTGGGGAAACTGAGGCCCTAAAGGAAATTCATTCATTCATTTGTTCTTTTAATAAGCAATTAAGCTTGAAGCTCAATTGGTAGAGTTCTTTCCAGGCATGTAAGAGCCCTGTCTTCAATCCCCAGCACTGCATAAACCAGGCATAGGAGTGCATGCTGTAATACTATGGAAGTAGAGGCAGGAACATTGGAAGCTGTTCAAGGTCTCAAGGTTTATCCTCAGCTACACAGCAAATTTGGGGTGGAGGACATGGTTTTTACAAGACAGGGTTTCTCTGTGTAGCCCTGGCTGTCCTTGAAACTCACTTCGTAGAGCAGGTCGGCCTTGAACTCAGAGACCCACCTGCCTCTGCCTTCCGAGTGCTGGGACTGGATTAATGGTGTGCACCACCACCACCACTCTACACAGCAAATCTGAGGCCAGCCAGGGCTACACAGCAAGAACACATTTCAAAAAACAAACACAGAACCAAATGGTCAAAGAAAAACTCCAAGCGATTATGGAGAAGCTACTGTGTGGTTTCTGTCACAAGCGACCAGCAATCTCATGAAAGATTTAAAAGGAGGTGCCCGGGTGCCACAGTGCACAGCAGACAGCCAGACCAGTACACAAGAGAACAGAAGAGAGGCAGCTGACGATGAAGAAGGAGGAAGCTGGGGGTCAAGGAAGGCTGTCCTGGGAAATACTTTTCTTTTCCTTTTAATTAAAATTTTAAAAAGAGCCGGGCAGTGGTGGCGCACGCCTTTAATCCCAGCACTCGGGAGGCAGAGGCAGGCGGATCTCTGTGAGTTCGAGACCAGCCTGGTTTACAAGAGCTAGTTCCAGGACAGGCTCCAAAACCACAGAGAAACCCTGTCTCGAAAAACCAAAAAAAAAAAAAAAAAAAAAAAAAAAAAAAAAATTTTAAAAAGAATTGAGATAGGGCATGTGGTACTGTGTGGCGGGGCTAGCTTTGTGACCCTCCTGCCTCAGCCTCCTACCTGTTAGGATTATAGGTGTGTGCAACCACAGCTAGTCAGCCAATCACCCTGCCAAGCAAACAAAAACGAGGAGGAGACTAGGGAGATGGTTCCCCAGTAAAATGCCTGCTGTACAAGCATGAAGACCTAGAGTTCTTAGGCCCACAGCACCCTCATAAAAAGCTGGGTGTGACTGCCAACTGCCAGTGTACGGCCAAG